TAGGGAGCGGTTAGCCCCCTCCCCGCCTACATCTCGAAACACACGGCAACTCTGGGCAATTATATTTCATCGGGGATCATACCGACGGAAGTCCGATTAGATTTTGTGTGGATTTTTGTTATAAAATCAAGGGATTTCGGATTGGGAAACGATATTCGGATTCTTAATGTTAGTATTAAGTACTAATAAATAGTACTTAACGAATTGAATCGGATTCATCCACATGACATATTCATGGAGGATATCTATTTTAATCAATAGGAAAAGAGTTGATCCTAATACATATATAGATAAGATTAACTACAATGAGGATTTGCAGTAATTCGAAGTAAGATTGCCAAAAATCGTATGCATATTACTCAAGTATCAGATGAGAATGCGTTCTGAAAATAGTAATTTAACAATAAGAAAGCTTCATTAAGACTTGATAAGAAAACTATGAAAAGCGAAAATTTCCTATGAGAAAATCAATTGTAAGTTATTCTAGATGCTGCTGTGCATATTCCTTGATTTATTAAATGAATTTTTCTAATATCTGTCAGAAAAAGTTAAGAGCGATCTCAATATTTTCCTTCGTGACTATCGACTGGCATTATTTTATTTTAATAGAGTGCAAAACTGTTACATTAAAAGAGCACTGCAATAAAGCGCTGCAAAATGTTCTAAATTAGAAGTAATTCTAAAGTCTCATGTCAAACACTTTCACATAAAAATATTTAATGAGTGGAAACAGTGATCTTTATTGACATCGCATATATAGAAAAATTCCTAACTCAACCATGTTACTCGTAGAATAGGAAAATGGCACAATTGTTATTCTGATGAAGATGATATTCGTCACTTATTAATTCACATCGATCGGCAGTATGATTATTACTGATTTTTTTGTTGTAAGATTATATAAAAAGAACAAGCCTCTGCAAAAGTATTGTTCGCCGTACGAGAGTTCGATAAAGTACATGAACTGCCTTGTTTTTTCTTTTCTTTCTTGTTGTTTTTCCTCGCGTCACAGAAACAGAGAAGTAAAAGAAATCTTTTTTCTCTTCTTCGCATTCTGCTCCTACTCCTTTATTTTGTTTCTCCTGTCGAATACTCTTGTTTTTTTCCTCGTAGGTATTGAAAGAAGCCATTGACGTCATCTCGCATTAAAATCTTTTTTTCCCGTCTAGTTGCCTTATTTATAATTACTTGAGTGGCACAATGGATCCAATATATGGCCAAGACGCATTACTATCCTATGACATTGATTTTGCTGAATTAGGTATTCGTCCGTTGCCTTTGCCTGACGACAATAAAGAACTTGATGATTCAAGTATTGGTTGTTTTGGAACGGAGAAAACGGTTGATTTTAATGTTTATTCAGCTGAAATACAAATTGCCATTGATGGGAAAAAAATCACCACTAATGAAGATGATTCATCGATGCTGGATGATGAAGATTCCAGCGAATTTGATATAGATCCTGAAACTGGTAAGTTAAAGCGAAACTTGATCATTCATTTTCTAGTTTTGTTTCACTAAATTAATCTATCAAACAGACTTAATTTTTAATTTATAAGATAAAAATGGTGCCTTTTAAAAGACGAGTCTGTTCTTTTGCTAGACGCCAAAAACGTGTTATCATTTTGCAATGAAGCCAATATTGATATAACCTGCTGTTTCTCATTTGATATTTTCAGGTGAGAAAATCTTTCGTGAATCGGCGGCGTCGACATCGAACAGTTATTCGTCGACGTCACAAGATGTATGTTATCTCTTTTAGTTTTTCTTATCAAATAGTCTTTACTATAAAAAATGACTGCGCATTTTTTTCTTTCGTAATAGAAATGGATCGAAGAATTTTTATCTAAATTCGAAGCATCAACTCATCCATTTTCACCAAATAAAGCAACAACAGCGGACGATAGTGCTTTACTTTTCGAGAATATAACCGGTTCATTCTTGGAAAATTTCGACGAAGAAACTGACCCAACTTGGCTGTCAAGTGTTTTTGACCTTGAGGAAAATAGCGAGCAGAACATGTTTGCTAATCCAATAATTCCAAATCAATCGATTGATAATAATGAAAATACAGTCAATGAAATAACAATATCATCAAACGAATCTACATCAATGAATCCTTTCAGTATTTTCAACGACGATGAATATTCAGTCAGTATGATCATTGTCGATATTTGTTGATTATAAGTATTTGAATTTTTAGAACTACAGTGAAATAACATTCGATGATACAAAATCAGAAAGGGTATATAATTATCTTAATAAAAAAAAATCAAATATTTCATTTGAAAATCTATCTAGGCGGAAGCTGATGGAGATTCACTGCGACGTATTACATTAAGACGAGCAAGTATTCGCTCGAATAATCAACGACAATTAGACGAAGAGGCTTTAAATCAACATAACATTCCTCTTACTGTAAACGATATAACTCATTCGAATACAGACGAATATAATCGTCATATCGCACGCTTGAGTTATTTAAATACGGAACAAATGAATATTATTAAAGATATTCGTCGTCGTGGAAAAAATAAGGTATGTTGATAGTTTAGTTACGAATAGGGACGAAACCTCCTCTAAATAGTGCTCACTACACCCCCTTCTACGATGGTTTTAGTCATTGACTGAGTCCATATCGAATCTCTGTCTAGTGACGCTCGTAGTTGTGAGAATGAAAATAAAATATTTATTCTCTTCAGATTGCGGCACAAAATTGCCGAAAACGAAAAGCAACTAGTGTTGAATCCTTGGGCGAAGAAGTTGAAGCACTTAAACGTGTTAAACATGAATTAGAAGAACGAAAGAAAGCAATTCTACAGCAGGTACTACATTTTAATCTGATTTGTTTTACATTTTCAACAACAACAAATATAATCTCTTTTAGATCACCGAAACCCGTAATCAATATGAATATCTCCATCAACAAGTTTTACCAGATCGTCAATTGCCGCCTGCAATTACTGTTAAATAACATGAATCATTTAGGAGAAAAACAAACTTTTTTTTGTAAATATAAATCAATCATTTACTTAGTTTGCTTTTATGAGTTATATATGTACATGTAAAATATTCTTCTTTTTGTTGCCGTAACGTTCAACTTGGTTTCTATTGTATTAGCAAATTTAACATTCATCAAATTAAACCGAGAGAAAAAATACAATGAATAGCATTGATAAATTTGCTCTCCCTCAAAGAATTTCTTTTCCTGTTAGAATTGGTCATTTATCTTAAAAATTATTTTTTCGTTTTTTGGTTTTATTTAAAAATAAATATATTCACCCAACGTAAATCTGAAAGAAAAACTAAAACCTTCTCTTAATAGCAGCATATTGATTTTATTGCGAGGAAGGGATTCTGAAAAGGAGCTATATTAAATTTCGTATACAGCTTTGATTACCGACCATTGTTTTTCGATTGGAGCTGCAGAGTTTGGTGATATCCTTCAAATTCGATTATCGATATTATCTCGTTTGAGTAAAGAAGAAAAAATTTCATTCTTCACAATGTGTCATGATTTTATCGCCTGAAGATTTGAGGGTCTTTTTTACATTATCAAAAGTGACGATTTGTTTAGTCATGATGACCTTCAGCATCATTTTGTGTATTCAAATGTCGTCAGTTATGCACACTAGTTCATTTTTTATAGGATTCGGACGCTGTATTCGTACTAAAACAGTTGTTATGTTATATGTCGATCATCGGCATCATATACAGGTAATAGAATAATCTTATTGTCCTAGACATTTAGCATAGATAATAATTGACTTTTCATCTTCTATCTAAAAAACAGTTCTAATATATTAGTTCATCATATAATTTTTTTTAACGAACAAATTCTGTTAGATATTTCAATCCAATGATTTGTTTTTCTGTTGTGAATAATAAAAACAATATCTGTTTAGAAATAAAAAGAAAATCTATAATCGTTGATCTAATGCTCGTAAATATTTTGTTGCAATTATTTTTGGTAATATTCGATATCGAAAACCAACCATTGCAACCAGCCATATTGGTAAAATTAATTTAGTATAGAGTATTGGCGAAAAACCCAATATGCATAAGATTGAAAGTTGAATTAATTGCAAAAATGTAAATAGATGGATTTTACGTTGTGGAACTTGCCGAATGTAATGATTGGGTGGATAAGCAGCCTGAAGAAAAGATAAAATAACAATGGAAAACATTTGGAAGAATACGGTTAAAAATCTGCAACTTTCAAAAGTTTAGTTGCAAACATTTCTGGGTCAGCGAAAGGTTTTCTCGGGAAAATATAAAGATTTCGTAAAGTTCGATCAATGATAATCGGAGTCGGGGATTTCGAATCAATGATTACAGCCGAGGAGTTAGCGAGTCCAGTAGACGAGCTTTGCTTGTATTTCAGAATAGGAGTCGCAAGAGCGACAGTGCAGCACCGATAGGACTCAAAAGCGCTGAAGGTGTTGGGGATTTCAAACCTTCACGTTTCTCGTCGCCACATTCCTGGCCAAAAAAGTTCTAAAAAGCCGCTCTCAATATTCCGAAAGTGGAAAACTAAGCTTGTAATTTAAAAAAAAAATATACTAATTAATTTCGCGTCTAAACATCTAATCAACCGAAGAAAAATTCATCTTATCCTTCTGAATCTCTTATTTTTACCTGTTCCGTAAAAAAGAGTGTAACTCTTTCAAAAAATTGATTCCCATCCAGAGATGTTAATGCCAAATAAAGAAATAAACCATCCAAAACAGGCATTGGAATTCCTTTTAATACATGCCGCATTAATAGTGTCATGCCAATGAATATATGCGATATCAATGCTGTTAAACGCGTTTCACGCACTTTAACAATACTAAATTAAACAAAAATTCAGGCAAAATTATTCAACTATCTATTGAACTTCTATTTCTTACACCGATTGAATGTGACCTTGTTCGACACGTTCTTCTGTATCTGCAAGTGCTTTAACATGCAACGGAGAAAGTGGTAAGGCTCCTAAAAGTCAAAACAAAATAACCAACATCGAGAATAAAATCGAGGGAACTCACCATGCATCCATGTTAATCCGAATAATGAAAGCAAACCATTGAGAATCGCTATAACAAATAGATCAACATGAAAAGCTTTGCCTTTCTTCAGTCTAAATTTAAAAGAAGAGATCGATTTACAATATTCGATTTTGAAGTCGCCAAATTTAAAACGTACTTATTCGCCGGCGAATTTACAATTGCACCTGCGATATTTTGATCCTAAAAGCGAAATTACTTTCAAAATTCATCGTATTGAAATATACATACAAGAAACATTAATAGAGACAGCGAGAATCCTAGTATTCCAGTGCCAATTATCTGTTTGATATTAACTGATTTAAATCGAACCACAGCAAACAATTGTTCAGCATTCACAGTAAACGATGGAACTAAAATATCAATCGTTTTAAGCTTCTTAATAACGAAATCATGTTTTCTTACGGTGTATTTCACTAAAAAATATGCTACCAATTAACGACATGATTATAACTGATACCGGTAATGCATAGTCGGTTAATAATTCACGTTTAGCTGATGTTAAATATGGTGTTTGTTTAAATTTATATAGAAATGTGCCCAACCATACAGTTCCGAGTGCTAATAAAAGATACAATAAACTAGAATCTCTCGAACATCGACCTACATAAAACAAGCAACGAATGTTTCAATATTTTTAATAATCATCTATTTCTTTAATTTTACTATGTAAAAGTTCACTAGCTGAAGCTATTGCCGAACTTTTATTCGTGTCATATTTTTCCCAATATTCATCATATTGTGCACATGACGTAGTTGAATATGTAAGTGTAAAATCTAGATAATAAAATATCCAATGAAGGTTCTGGCGGTGATTATAAAGTAGACTTACTTTTATAAACATGTCTGCTAGCATCAACAAGAAATGCAATAGAAACAAATAATGCAAAAATTTCTTCTGTTGATCTATCGATAGACAAAATTTCGTTTCAATTGAGTTTTCAATGTTCAATTTACCTTGTTGACCATTTCATTATTTTCGATACACCAAATATTGAATATATGATAAGAAAAAATGAATTCCATAAACCAACTAACGCATATGTATCACGAAAATCAAGCCCATACCAACCACACAATGTATAGATGACTATTTTAATGTAGAGAATAAGAATTTTCCTACGCAAAAAAAACAACTTATCTATTCACCTTTTACATAGAGTGTTAAAGGCGCTGTTGTCATAACAACAATTAATGGCTGACCAGCAAAGATTGAAAAGAAAATTCCACCAAGACATTGTGAAGCTACAGCTTTTGGTACGCCTACAATAAAATGATGTTTCGATTTCTGCAATAAATTTTAAAGTAGCATGTGAAAAATAATTTTACGCCCCTTCCGCCCTAGCCTTGATTTCTGCTTATGGTTCTACTCGCATGGGTATTTCTGTGCCATGCGCGAATTGAAAACGGATTTGATGACCGATAAATATTAGCGAACCGAGTTTAAGTAGTATCCGCCTCAAAGTTGCCTTCTATGCGTTCAAGCATGGCTTGGCCCGTTATTTTTTTTTCGTCCTTCGAATATTTGAGATACTAGACGTGCTTATCAGCTGTTATTCTCTAAAGAGAAAGGTGTCATACTGAACCTTTTCTCGGTTCTCGTCAGCATGTATAAAAGCCCAAAAAGATTCAGACTTTCTGACTAAACCCTCTTCCAGTTCTATAAAACATGTCTAGAACTGAAAAAAAAGCTTTAGATATCGATAGCGAAAAAGGTCTGCTATGTGACACCCCCTTTTTCTCGCGAGTAGAAAATGTAACAAAAATATGGCTTAAAGTACATTTTCTACAATAACAAGACATGCGCAGAAAAAAAATGATTCAGCTGTCTTGAATTGATACTTCACAAAGCAATTCTGAGAGATTATTTCTTACATAAGTGGAAAATTTTGAAGACTATTTACAGTGCAAATATCAATTACTGTATAATTAAATTGTACGATGTACTACATAATAATTGCTTCTGCAAGTCGATGTAGAAGATTTACGAAGTATGTCTCTCGTCATGATTAAGATTTTGTATTAAATTTTCATAGGAAATTATTTATCGTGTGAAATCGGTTGGAATAATCATATAATTATGATAAACAGGAAGACTCATTCTAAGGATTTCCAGCGTTGCGCACTTTCTAATAGCGAATTTTAGTTAACATGATACCTATGTGACCGAATTTTTTAGTTCGCACAATTTTTTGATTGTGTAAAAAATGTCTCGTTTAAACTTACTAATCTGATTGTTTGTCGCCTGAGAATTAAGTACACCGAACGCAATACTTGGCAACAGACAAGCAAAATAGAGAAATACAGCAGTGGATAAAACTTTTTGTGGGCCACGATGAGTTTGAAAAACTGAATGAAAAGAAAAATAATCAAAACTGAAAAATGGATTCAACAAAAAAAAAACGAAACTGAACCTACTATCATAATAATCAGATAAATAATGAGGCAAACGACGTGATAAATCCATACAAATATCAGACGGCATTGGAAAGTAATATATCTTATCTTTTGATGCCTTCGAAAACAATCGCTTTTACGGATTGAAAAAAAGCAATAAGCCCTCTCTTACTTCTGCTGCATTATTAATATCATCGAATGGATCCGGTAGAGAAGTTCTTGTTACAGCTGTTTGCTGTTCCATTAAATGATCTGTATGTTTCTATTGGAACGAAAAAATAAAATTTAAAATAAAAATCCAAAACTAATTTACATCAATAATCGAAATAAATTCTTGTTGTGTTGCTGCTTTCAATAATTTAGCACGTAATTCAATATCAGCGAATATTGTTGCAAACGTTCGGCCAGTTTCAAGAAAGTTCTTCGTACCTTTCTCTCTCATCGGCGACAGTACAAAAACAATAAAGCGTGCTTCTTGGCAGTTTCTTCCCAAGTTACATGGGTTTTTTAAACGTGCAATAGCGACATGCCGCTTGAGAATCGATGGCGATGTACACATTATTGCTAGCCATGATTGATCGTACGTCCAGTTTGTTTCAGTTGCAGTTGTTGCTTGCACCGTTTTGGCTAATATTCGAACTGAGAAGAAAAACAAAAACGATCAATAAGAGACGACAGAAAAGACACAGGACAATATACCTCTATCATTGACAAATATCGCTTGTTTAATTTCTTCGATGTTCAGATTTTCTCGATGTCCACTGGCAATACTACTAACCGTATTGCTTATCATGGCTGTTGTTGCGCTTGATACTGATAGCGATGGGGATATTGTTGCGCCGACATTATGTGGTAGATTTGTTTGTTTGATTCGTCGAAGTATTATTTCTAATAAATCTCCTATTGATGTGTCTTGAACATCAAGAAGTACGAGTGCGCTAAGAATAAATTCTTTGATATCTTTTCCACCACGTATTTCGGCTGCGAAATCTTTTAATGGAATATGCTAAAGTAACGAAAAGTTTTGTTATCATTTTCGCTTCGAGTAAATAAATCATTTTCTTACTTCAGATTTATTATAAACAAGTTGGATTTGAGCACCATCCTCTATGAGAAGAAGAAGAAAAAAGAAATGACTGATTCACAATGGGTCATAATCAACATGATTATTATTAAATTGTGGAACTGACCTCCTAGGAGAATATTGAACACATTGTTCTCAAATCGTATTATAAGCTTATAATACTTTTTTCATTGAATGATATAAAATTAGTTTTCTCGCGAGACATTGACGAACAGAAAAAGTCCTCTGGCATATTAAGTTATCATATGGTTTTGCTCGATGCAAAGAAAACTTTTGAATACATTGAGATTTTGTTTATTTTGTAAAGATGATAAATCATTATCAATATCATCGGAATGATTCAAGTGTTCGCACCGTTATCTTCTATGGACATGCTAACAATGTCTATGTTCTTCTTTTCATCTCGAGTTTTTCTATAGGAAAACAAAATGAGTTCTGTTTTGATATCATGAGAAAAGAAAAGAAATCGTCATGTTCTGCTATCACATATTGCCAATACTCGATTTTGACTTTTGCTAAAAACAAAACTATTCTTTGTGTGTTTGTGCGTGACAAAAATGCTATTTTTGGCTCATCTCATTCGGAACTGATAAATTTGTTCAATGTTATAATGTCTCAGAAAACGTGCGCGCGTGCCTATGATAAAAAATAAATAAACACAAAGGAAAGAATCTAAGAGCGAACGAGCGTAGATGCTTGTGTGCGTGCCTATTAAATTTTCGCAACACGAGATGTTTATAATGATCTCATGTAATTATTGATATGTTGAAGGTAATATATTTGATGGAAGGATCATAAAGAAATGCATGATTACCTCGGAGTAATTGCCATTCATGATTTTCATCACTGAAATTCCAAGTTGATATATGCGTAGATATTGAATCTCGGGTAGGTTTACGACGAAAACTAAATCTACGCAAACTATTACCAGCCGGATTACGATATAAACTTGAATCTGTTTGATGCATTGAAGCTGTTCGAATGTCTTGTTTTGGTATAGGAAAGTGTTCGCTCGTTGCTAATGATAATGATGGCGATCAGAACATAATAGCAAGTCAGCCCGAACAGCTAAGAGTTAGTTTCAGGGGTAATCAACATGGCTGCATGATGATCGTAAGAATAATAGTCAATTGCAAATCAAAAGTTTCGAGAAAACAAGACACGATTGAGATAAAGAGTGAAGCAGATTGTTAGACGAAGGAAAGAATCAGAACCGAAGAATAAAAATAAATCGTTGTTTATGAGAAAACGCCAGCTAGAACTCTCTTATTCTCCTCCTTGTATCTGTTTCCTTCTCTAGAGAAGAAGACATAGCATCTACTAGAGAGAATAAACTTAATTTCTTATTGGTATAAACATACCACAATCAACAACATTAGTGAATAGGCTGATTTAAAATGCATGACTATTTTTTTTTGTGGTGAATGATTAAAACGCCTACTAGATACCACTTTCTACACCATATAAACGACTCAAGAATTACAATTTTTTTCTCAAATACTCATAATTACGTTTTCCTCCTTGAAGAACACAATTAATGTTTATCTATAATCATAAATAAATGAACGGTTATTCAAATAAGTTACATAAAAATAACTATAAATTTATAGATAGAGTTTTTAAAACCACTCTATATAAGTAAGTGGCTGATTCGTTCATAGATGATGTGTTTTAAGAAAATATATCATGTTCAACACTATATAGTATGTCATGCAATTAAACAACACAACATTTTTGTAATGTAATAAATTTTATCATCATCGCGTGTACTGGTTTTTGGTACATTTCATAGATAGATATTTTTTTTTTCATTGATTAAATTCTTATGATTGATAATAGCAGTTACGACTAATGTAATTGCACTGATAACAATGCTTACCTCGTGAAGATGTTGATGTTGGAGTTGTTTCAAGAAAAATTGTATTTGTATTAGCCATTTCAACAACTGATAATGGTTGAGAATCGTACATCTAATCTTTTGATATAAAAATGTTGTCTTAGAATCAAATGAACATGCGAATGCGATGTATATAAATTAACATTTGAACAAGAAAATCGGAACAAAGGCGGGTGGTGGCTGGAATATTATCGTGTGTGCTATGACTTGATAAAATCATTATTTTATATAAAAGAAACATTCATGAAAGTTTCTTTTACAATTGCTCCGGATGTGAACATCGATAGTATTTTTGCTATTGAATTATGGCGAGTTAACGTTTGTTATACAACTGAATTTTTGTAGAATAATATCTTTAGTTTCTATTTATTAGCAAATATGAACTACAGAAGCGAAACAAAACATGTTTGATCGCTAACGAAAATTCTTCCATTAAGAAAGTAAATTACAGAATGATGCCACACTAAGTAGTGTATTTTCTTAGAAATTGCAGAAGCTCATTTTAACATTTACCGTACTAATCAATTATTGCCAAAGAAAAGAAAAATAACGAAACTCCTTTGACGTTCATTGTTATTAATAAATTTGTGTGTTTTTCTTCTTCCATAGATTTTTATCATGTTCAGAGTTTCCGGAATGGACATAACAATTTCGAGTACCCAATTCATTATTTTAGCATAGCATAGTGATCCTTATTATGACTTATTTTTAGTATCGTTAAATTAATATCAATAGAAAAAACGACAGAAGCTCAGCCGCGTATAACATGGAGATCTTCAGAATAATAATCATACTTTTAAGTATGCCATTAAAAAGCAACTAAGTATTTATTTTTCGGTTGAAGTGGTAGCACAAAATCAGTAATGAATATCTTAACTCTACGGAAAAGAAAACAAACAAAGATTTAGATTCATTTGGTATGATATAGAAGTGACAAAAACTATCGCAAAAATTACAATCTGATTGTTGGATAAAACGAATAGAACATTTTACAAGTAAACTTCAATGCACTTCGTGTCTGACTATTTTTTTAAATGAAACAACTCTCAAGCGAACTTTGATCTTTTCTTTTTAGTCGAACTCTTCTAGGGAAACATTGATTGATTCTGTATGTAAACGCATTTTTTCCGGTTGCGATTGTATGTATTAACAAAGTCAATATGAATGTCAGTGAAGGTCGTCATTCTATTCGATTTTTTTCTTTCTGAAAATTACAAATAGTTGTGCGAGGAAACAGAAGCTATTTTCAAACGGACGGCTGATCTATAACAATGAATCACAGAGTTAAGGATAGCAATATTTTTGATCCCCAAAAAAATGACTATTGATCACCAAAATGTGTTAGTTGCGAAATGATCACCAAAAAAAGATACAAATGATACCCAATCTATTTTATTGTGAAATGATCACAAAAAAATATATTCGACCACCGAATTTATTATCAATATAATAAGAGATAGAATAATAAATAACAACTATAGTAACACAAAATACAATAAACAATGGAAACAGAAAATATGTTCTACCAAAATCATGGTAACCATGCTGTTCGAACTTTTTTTGTACTTGACATTTTTAGTTTTCTGCATTGTTATGATAGAGCATTTTGTGTAACTATTCCCAGTTAATGAGACCATTTTGATTCAATTATGATTATTGTTTAATTATGTCTTATCAATCTATTGTCTTTTGAGATAAACACGTTATCTACCACAACTCTATCATTCATTCCACAAAAAGCAAATTGGGGGTCATTTGTATCTTTTTTTGGTGATCAATAGTCATTTTTTTGGGGATCAAAAGTCTATTTATCCCAGAGTTAACGGTCGTTTCCTTATCAATAGATGCTCAAATTCTGCTTATTTGCTATGATATGTCGCCATGCTCTTGGCTTCGAAGTTTAGTCAAAGATAAAGCATATCTTTATTTTTGCGTCGTCGTTTTCAAGTATCTCTATTGATGTTATAGGAAAATATTCTTAAATGAAAAATCCAATTAAGGCGCAAATTCTAACGTACACAATTAGAAATTCCGGCATGATTTTTTTCTTGCTAACTGCAAGCATGATACCAACAAAAACAGCCTGCTGAATAAAACAGGAAAAGCTACTTAGAAGAAAAGTAATGTTTTAATTTTGTCATTCTATTAGAACGAAATAATTTCGATGCGTTCTAACAATATTCAAAACAGTAATTCTATTTCGATGAAGTTCTTTTTATTAGCGAGTGTAACTATTCTGCATTGCATCAATTATTTTACTAAGAAAAACAAAGAACCCATGCGTATTCACCAAAAAATGCTGCACAAGGTTGTCAAGGAAAAAATAGCAAGCTATGAAATGAATTTTGAGTTCATTAAAGGACATTCCAATTTGTTGGTGGCAAAGAGGTTCAACAGAGGAAGAAGAGAAAAAAGTCATTCTTCATCAATTAGTTGCGGCAATAACATGTGCTCCAGCCTATGTATGTTTATCAAACATTCGATGTTCAAATATTGATTGACAGAATAGCAATTTTTGTTTTTCGTCATACAAGCAATTTCTTTTGAGAAAAATAAGAATTCAATAAAGCTGTTATGTTTTGCATAAATAACAGATGCGCAGCTTGAAACGTTCTTTCAATAATAAATCTAAATGCTTCAGCTGGTAGGTATTGAAAGAAGAACTGTTTTTGTTGAAGTTTTTCTGGTAAAAGTCAAAAAGTTAGGAATTTGGAATTTGAGCGTAGAAGACTGAGTGGTCAGAATTTCAATTGTTGTTTTTGGCTCGTATTCAGGGTGAGGCTAAAAGCAATACATCATGAGAAGAATCGCAATCAAACTCACTCTCAAACGTAATTTTTCTTTGAAAAACATCTTGGAAATTGGACATTTCAAACCTTTTTTTTTAGTCGAAATTTTAATTCATTTTTGCAGAGAATAAAATCGTGAATCTTCGGGAAAAAACACGATAAAAATAAACTTTAATCTTGATCGAGACGAACATTTATTCTCGCGTACATATTCATTCTGGATAACTTCTAAATCATTCCATTTTTAGTAATTAACAGGATTTCTTATTGGTATCAATCACGAAAATATTTTGGTTTCTCCTCGATTATTTTTTGTTGCTTCCTAAAGATTCGATAAACGACACGCCAATAGAATAATCTTTGCTCTTGACTCATCCACATCAGTTATGAAAATTTTACTTCCATCGATTAGTCGACAGCTAAATTGATTTTTGTTAAACTGTGAAACTTATCACTAATCTTTATTCATGACTAATTACAATGCGTTTTTTAAGGCAACTCTTCTTCACACACGCGCACACAAAAATAAACGAACATTGCTTGGCTTAAAACGATCACATTACATCATAGCATCATCTTCAACGAAAAAATAGATAATTCTAACAATCTACATTAGTTCTTACCAGAAAAAGAATAATAATAATAAGTAAATATATAGAAGAAAAATCCTCGTGAGACAAGAAGTGTTGGCAAAATTTACAAATCCATGCAAAAACAAACTAATCGATACAAAAAAAAAACGTTTTTTGATTCACATTTTCTCTCCTATGATGAATATTTTGATTTTTGCTGATTACCAGCTTCGAAATTAGCATGTGATGAATTTGCTTTATAAAATTTAACTTGAAAAACTATATCCGGAAATATGCCGCGAACTTTTTCATCAATCGCCTTCTGCGCTTCTTCCGTTGGATTTGAATTCCATATTTGTACAAGATCTTGGGGCCCATCTCGTGATTGTACACTTACGCCAACAACATCATCGCCTTCAATTACCGAAAATTGCTCGCCAATCGCAGCTAAACATAATTCTTGCCAGACAGTATTCGTTTTATCTTTTGGACAACGATATGTATAAATACCACCGCTAAAACAAAGAGTTACGCAAAAATAATCGTTATTAGTATATCTTGTGATAGCTATAGTGGAGAAGGAGAAACAAGAGACGAGAAATTTCACTCTAGTATACGTATTTTAAATCGAAAGAAAATGGTCATAGCTCATCATTTTTTCAGTGATTTGAAGAATTGATCGAACTAATGTCCGCGCCAGAATACAGGAAAATATTTTTTAATCTAAATAATCCAACAGTTGAAATAGTTTTGAAGTCTCTTAACGTGGTTCTATCTTATTTAGCATCAGACAAATAAGACTCTGGGAATTATTCTCTCTCGTTTGTCGAAAACCGCAGGGTACCAATAATTACTATTGATCTCACATCAACTCTTGTTGCCAACGTTAGAGTATAAATACTCTATTTAGCTGCATTTTGTTACTATTCTATAATCGATTATGTCTCATGTGATAGGAAGAAGAAGAAGAAGAAGAAACAGACAACATCAAACATTTATTATTCTATAAGACAAGCTAATTCGAAGATATATTCAAAACTTTTTCTCTCCAGGGAAATCATTGCTTTTATGCTTTAAACTATTAATCGAAAACTTCGCCGAATTTCGAATTTATTCGAAAGAAAAATGATGAACATCATATTATTATTAATTTTGCAGTAATTGTATTAAATTTTCTGAGTACTTTTCGAACGGAACTAATCAATTCTCTTCTTACATTTTATAAGTTCATCAAAACGAGAATTAAACTTTAGTTTCGTACAAAAAGCTTCACAAATTAAATATTCATATCTTACTTTTCATTTTCTCGATCTTCCCACAGTGGTTTTCGACTTCGCCGCATCAAATGATAACTAACACGATTTGCTAATCGACTTGGCGCTGTAGAAAAAAAATTAAACCATAGCAGAAAAAAAATGTTTTTTCATACTTGGTATATTATTAAAAACACTCCAAAATTCTTGAACCGTGTCAACCTAAATAATAAATTCATAAAAAGCTAAGGAAAAAATATTTCAAGCCAATCTTACAGCAAATATCTTCTGAAGACCGGCTTCATAATCGTCTTTTGATGCAAATTTTGATTTTTGCGAATCGAGCCAAAAAGTCCACCTTGACAGAACACCAAATAAAATTGAATAAAATATTTTTCGTTCTGTTTTTTCGTAACAGAAAAAAGTCTAATTCATACTTCATAGCAAGCGGTGCAACTTTTTCTTTATTGAGTGATAATGATTTTCGAATTTTAGTTGTTGTCTCTGCAACATAGTTGTCATCGTTAAATGTTTCACTCGCTGACGAATATTCGCTATCACCACCACCGCCACCGTCGATCATCTACAAACGAGAAAAAATATTCTCTAAAATGAAGAAAAAACACAACAACGAAAGAATGAGCAATTCTATCGTTTGCCAACAACCGCCATTCTCTTTCATTCCTCATATATATATATATATATATATATATATTTATATATTCAAAAAGTACGACACTGTATTTGTCAGTACCATTAGTAACGATTGCCAACATGCCACGCGCAATGGACGATTATTTAGATTTGAAATTTTTAGCTATCGGTGATTCCGGTGTGGGCAAAGTAGGCAATTTATTTTCAGCCATTTATATACAAAGTTCATTTTATTAATAGACTTGCTTGTTAAATCAATATATCGATGGACAATTTATGAAATCTTTAGGCACGACTGTTGGTATTGATATTCGAGATAAAAATATTTTTTATAAATCTACTCGGTCAAATCGATCGTATAATATCAGCTTACAATTATGGTAAGGCATATTTTTTTTTCTTCTATCATTGAAAACAACGCCTTCTGTAGAGGACGATTCTTTTTTTTATTAAACCTATTATTGCGAACGGTGTACGGCTTTTTTCGTCTTGCGTTCTCCTGATTTCGATTAAAGATCGCTATCAGACGTGCTTCTGTACTATTTCACAGTGAAATGTCATATGCATTTGTCAACAGTATATAATGCTTATATCAGCAAAAGAAAAACTGTGAAAAATATTGATACTACTTGCAGGGTCAATAGGAAATTCACTGAGTACAGTTTAATATTCTAATTGCCGGTTCCGATCATGAGATGCATTTGCTGATTAGTTTATTTCTATAGGTGTAATATTCTCACTTAAGCTTTTTGAATAGTTTCGATAATCCCGAGCGATGTGATCTTTGTCTAATCTTGGCACTACTTTGTTTTTTTCCCTCACCAAAGAAAAAAAACAATTGACCTTCCTTTTGTAATACCATCGACCTTGAAGTAGTCTGAATCATTCTTTAAAAATCTATCTGACGAGAAATGTGCTCAAGATCGAATTTACATGGGAACTATATACTGCGGAGCTAGAAAGATACGAGTTTTAACTGGAGAATAATGCGTTTTTTTGAAACTCGACATAGAAATTATTGTTTAGTCATAGATGAAAGCTAAAAAGCTTCATTTTTATCTAACAAACTATAAGACAAAGGTTTGATTAACTGAAATAAAGAGCAGCGACTTAAGAATCCGTCGCTTTTTCTCTCTGCTGTAATTTAGACTTGAATTCCAGGTTCAATCTAATACCGAATTTAACATTAGTATTGATTTTTTGATAATTTAGGGATACGGCAGGTCAAGAACGCTATCGAAGCCTGACAACATCATTTTTTCGTGATGCAATGGGCTTTTTACTCGTATTCGATTTAGCAAATGAAACGTCGTTTCTCAACGTTCGTAATTGGATAGGTGAAATTCAATCGAATGCTTATTCGGAAAATGTCGATGTGATACTTGTCGGTAATAAATGTGATTTAGAAAATGAACGTATTATAACGAAATCTCGTGCACTACAATTCGCTCAACAAAATCGTGTTGAATATATTGAAACCAGTGCTTTACAAAATATAAATGTCGGTGAATCAGTCGAATCGCTACTTGACTTAGTTATGAATCGTCTAGAAGGCGAAGGAAACCTTTCAAGAATAAGCCGTCGCCTATCTAGACCTCCAATCGTGCCACTCAATTCGGAAGCAGCAGAAAGAAATACAAGAAAAGATATCGGATCACACTATTGCTGTAATTATTAAACGAACGAAGCAAATAGACAAGTACTATTTGTTTTGCTTAAACAAAATATTTTTTCTTATCTGAATTTTAATAAATATTGAAATTGATTGCTTAACTGCACGCTGTTAATCGATACCATTTCATAGAAATATCGATTCATCTAGAGAAGAAAAAAAATAAACTTTTATGCAAAATAGTTGTGCAAACGCTCGAATCTAAATTCTATCGTAAACAGGAAGCTGATTTCCACGTGCGACTTATTCAATAGTAAAGTCTAAACATTATTCCGGATAGTTAACTTCGATATTTTCTCGCACGTCACTTGCAAAAAAAAACATAATGAGATCGATATATATATATTTTTAATATATTAACTAAACTCGGCAGAAACATGTAAAAGGATAAAAATAATTACTCAAACTGTTCTAGAGAATACAGTTCATACAAAAAATAGATATATTGTGTTTAACAATAAGAAGAGAAAAACAAAGTGCTCAATCCAAATGAACATGCCGTAGCTGTGCTGGAATCCTCGTATCTGATACTTGTCGACGTGCCGTTAATAAAAGACCGCATGTAAATATTAAAAGTATGATTGTAATCAATAAGAGAATTATTGTCGATATGGGCGTGAATAGAATGCGATACTTAATACGTAAATACCAGGCAGATCCAAGCATTAATGTCATTAGAAACATAAAATAGGGCGAAATACTAATAGGTGATGTATCAATTAAGGATAATGTATCAAATCCATTTGTATTTACATGCCCTGCCGATGCGTCATCATTAATTCGATTTGGCGTTGGAAGCCTTCGGATACTTATTTGGCAATGAATTGTAGTTTGATCGCGTATGTTACACGTACGAAGAGTTTCAGAATCTTGCAATTCACGGCCTTGATAAATGAATCGAACGATTTTATTGCTCGCTAATTCATCGGCGAAATATAATCTAAATGAGTTTTTCGCATTAAAATTTTTTATCATTATTAATTGATAAAGCGATAATTTACAAAAGCAATTTTTATCCTGCGAAACTAACCGGACTTTTCTCTACTTTTTTCTTATTTTATTCAAATAAAATCCACTGTGTGTAATGCTTTTACATTTGTAAATACTCAAGACACTAATTGGCTCATAATCACACTCGTTCTGAACAAAGAAAAACTAAATAGCGCTATTCTATAAGATAGGAATGTCAGATATACAGAACGCGACAAAACAAAAAAAGCTATAGATTATCACGTCACTATGCTGAAATGTCGATCGTTTTATTCGATTTATGTTACTATTTTATTCTATTGTTTGTCACTATTTAAAGAAAAAATTCGCTCAATTTCTTAAATGAAACTTTAACTTCAACTGTTCTCCGGAGTACAGAGGTCTCCGGTTTTTTTCTTCTTGGTGGGTCCGGGACTGGTTTTTCACATCGCTAATCACAAATAATGCCTCGTCCGATTTCATTATGGAGTTAATTTGCTTACCTTTTGACTTTAGAGATCGTATCAGTGGCATTAGCTAATATTGATTTTTGAGTTTCATTCAAAAATTTAATAGTGATTCTCAATGACTGATCTTCTTGCTCATCGGTTGCTATCTGAGATTCTGATTCGTTTGAATCTAGTGGGGATTCTTGTGCTTGACTGGTGTTTGATTCGGCTGATGTTGGTGTTTGTTCATACATATATTCATCGTTTTCACTCGAACTAAAACAAATAGGAATTGAAACGAAAAATAAATATTTACCATCGAATAATCCTACTCATTATCAGATTCATGCTCGGTTGAAGTTTCATTAATAGACGAGAGTGGTGGTGTTTGCTCATTCGGTGAATTTAAGTCTCGTGACGGACTTGAACTGTCTCTTTCTGCTTGCTCGTCTAGAATTTTGTAATAATGAACAAGATAAAGCAATTATTTGATGTAAATATATTTACTACCGTTTCTAAGACGTGTTCTTCCTTCAATAATAAATAATGTTGCAGGCAAATGAATATTATTGACGTGAGATGAAAACCACGCCAGTATTATAATACCAATAAATCCAAGGAAACTAAACGCGTAGAGAAGATCATCGCCAACACCTTCAATAAACGACATTTTTTTTCTATAAACGAAAACAGAAAATAAAAGTTTAGCAATAATTTCCGTAGTTATTAATATGAAAAAAAATGAATCATGCCCATGTTGGTCTTCATTTGTAGATATCTTTAAATATATCGACGTGTTGTTTGGTAAAACATGGCAACCATTTAGAATTTTATTTTCATCGTTCTCCATCTATCGCACGAACAGGCAGATGACGCACATGAACAGCAAATTCCACGAAAAGAAACATTTTAAATATTTTCAATTGCACAAGAAAATAGATTTGCACAAAATAAAGCAGCAGAGAAGACTACACGATGGACACGATTTTCTGCACCAATGGCGAAAAGTCGTTTCAGACCATTGAGTTTTTACTGATTGATATTAATACACAAGAACTTTTTGTACGTAGCGAGCACGTGCAGAAAGGTTTTCAGATGACAGTAAATGTCATCGATTCGATTCGTAGCGAGAGAACTTTAAATCGATAGTTATGACTCATGTGCCACTTATAAATCATTCAAATTTCGACAAAAATGAATCTCTAGTAAAAACAAATACATTATTTCTATCGTGATCATCTATGCCTTGCGAAGGTTGACCCCTACAATCGAATAAAACATAAAAATTCAGAGAGTTGTCCCGTATAGTAATTATGAATTCTATTTTCTTTGTAAGAATCCTATTAAGTTCGTGTATGATTGGTCTAAATTTTCTGCAGCAAAAGATAAATGAGTATTTAACGCTGAAAGAAGACATCATTATAATATACCAAGTAACAGTTGACGTACTGACGCAAAACTGACCTATCCGACAATGGCCAAGAATGTCTCTAGTTTACGTAGTAGAACAATTTCGGATTTTCTTGCATTCCACCTCCCTCTTCTCACAATAGGATTAACAACAAATAAATTGGCTATTTACGCTAGAAACAAATCTTTCGTGGCTCAACAAAATATGTTTGTTTCATGCAGAAATAATTTGTAATTTCATTTTTCGACAGAGACAGATAATTCACATTGACTGATAGATTGGATCGCCTGAGGAAACTAAAGTTTCAATAAAAATTTTAAAAATTCATAAGCGGTACCAATTTTCCAGTCTAATCCATGGAGAACCTGTAAAGATTCATTTTATATAAACGCCTAAAACACAAATTCCTCATTTATACGTCTGTCTAGAACGAACGGAAACAAAATATTGTTGATGAAACGAATAATGTGGGTCGGTGTAATTGTACACTTGAAAAAGAATGAATAATTCAAAATCTATTGAGCATAGAAATCAGAAGAGAAAATTTAATTGGATAATAGTTGTTATGTGATTTGTCTCATAATTATTTTATCCGTTCTTTCTAGAAAATCTATAACTTCTTCTCATTCTTTCTGCGAGTTACATAACAAGTGGCAGAGAGAAAAGAAATGAACTTTCAAGGTTTCATTCTTCTATTAAAACAATGTTTTTTTTTTGTTCCACTGATTTCGCACTCGGATGTTCTTAGAGGGGAAAATTTAAAATGAAAGCCGATTGCATATTAAATCATGGATAGGTAAGCGTCTGAAAATAGAAATCATATGGCTCAAGTGCCCGGATCATTATCTGGACAATTGCGATCAATTACATAGTCTCGCCCCAGTGTGCAAAAACACATAACGCGGAGGAAAAGGAAAATACTAATTTTCTTACAAATGTTTCCAGTGACGGCTAGGTGGTTTGTAAGTCAACTGATCATTCATTAGAAAATCGTATGATAAATATTCGAGTCATGCATGACACGCGTTCAGTTTCCATTCAATGTAAACAATGGCAGCTGTGCGGCTCCATGAGAACTCAATCTGTACCGAAAATGCAGAATGATTGATGAAGACATCACAACTAGCTATGGTTTCCGACATAAAAATATCTACTACTATTAAAATCGATCGTAATCATCCATAACGGATTTTATTGATTTTCAACCGTAAAATTTCTCTTGGTCGACCAGAACATCTTTTTTATTCGTTCACCAAAGAGGCACAGGTGCTCATTTCTACACTACCATAAAACTCGATCATAAATCAAATCAAATTTACAATCGAGACGATAAATATTTAGTCAAACTGTTTAACAATGTCCTTACTTCTCTACCATAAATTCTTCATAATGACTCAACACAGATTCTCATGAAACTAGATCTTGATGATAAACATGTATCGCTGATTAAAGCAAATAACGTATGGTAAACGTATTATCAACTGTCACATTAAAACGAGTTCTACATCTATCTGTAATCTCTCCACGAGGCTATTATTCCACACAGATACTCAATCTTAGATCGAGTATAATTGGCATTGAAGAAGCACACAATTTTTTCCTTAAGTATTACATAATAATAATGATAATAATAATGTAAGACAAGCGTTTTGCTCTAACTATCATTATTATTCAATAAAAAAGTTTATGATGCTAGATTTCATTTACGTAAAATCATTGATGAAAGTACTCGGCATTTAATAAATGCGATACAGAATATTCTTGTTTGGCTAATCTAATTTTCTTTAAAGCGACGCTTGCAACGTTAAATATTATCGAAAACAAAATTAATCAACGAGAACACTAATTAGTATCAATCTCGGACCTGGATTAGAACAGAAAATTTAATTTACATCTCAAGAAAATTTCCATTTGTCTTTCGAAATGTTGAAAAGATTCATTTACGTAGGATCTCATATCCTTCTGGGATTGAAATCGGATCATCTCAAGTAGAGTTACAAGGTCCTACTGTTACATTCAACATAGGACAAAAGTAAAGAAAAATGTTCTTATTCAAGTTACCGAGTACGAATCATGTTCGTCCTGCACATCTTAAATTTCAGGCATGATTTAACCTAAAATTAATCTCGCAAAGCAATTCGAACTTTTTCTTCATAAATAAAACTAATGAAAATTCTACGTTGTATAATAAGCTACGATATTTTTCTGTCTCAAACAAGAGTTCACATGCATTCAATTTTTACTGCGGAAATTGAATAATTTTGCCGAAAGACTATTTGATTTTTCAACCTCAAGCTTTCTCATCGCTCTGGAAAGAGAAAAGAAGACGTCGCTCATGCCTCCGAACAAAGAAATTATTTAGTTTACGGTCGTAGAAATAAATAAAGATAGAATCATATTGCAATCTACACAAAACCAATGGTCTTGTTTCAACACTTAAAGAGTGCTTTTATAAACAACAAATAGATAAATGACTTAGACGACGACGACAAAACAAAACTGTACAAAGAAGAAAACAAATCATTTCGAGTGACGATGATGATGATGCTGCTGTTGTTGTTGTTGTTGCTGTTGTTGTTGTTGTTTAGCTGCTTGTGGTATCATATCTAATAGGTATTGAGCGGGATTTCCTTGGCGCATCAATGATGCAGCCATTGCTGGTAGTGATGCAGCTAAAGCTTGTTGCTGTTGTTGAGTTGTTTTCGCTGCAAGTGCAGCTGCTTGATTTGCCACAGCAAATGGAAACATATTTGAAAGAAAATGTTTTTGAAATAATTCTATTTGTTCATTGGTTGGTAATGCAGCTAACGCTGATGCAAATGTATCAGCTGGAATAGGATGTTTTGATGAACTAGTCTTTCCACTATGATGGTGACGATGGTTATTATTATTATTATTATTATTATTGGTATGTTTTGTAGATTGATGATTCGAATTTATTTTTGTTGACAATGGTTTATTCGAGTGTTTATGATGTGAAGATGATGATGGTGCTGGCGCTGGTGCTGGCGCTGGTGGTTGTTGTTTAACTGTTGTTGCTGCTTGTTGTTGAAATTTCGCGTCAAGTTCTTTTTCTTGTTGCAATGCTTTCATAAATGCCTGCCGTAAACGATTTGAATGATCTTGTTTCAGAATTTTCTTCTGTGATGTTTTTCTACAACGATCACACAGTATTTTTTCATCTTTATTATCTATATCACTAGCTGATGAAACATCATGCCATGTTACAGACCAATCTGTACCACATTGAGCACATACGTTAGGTGCAGTCATTGAAACGTCCGATGAAAAACGACGATTAACGATATCTGAATATGTATTATAGGCTTGTTCAAGACCAACTAATGTTAAAAATTCTGCCCAACCATTTATACCAGGGATATAAGTTAAATCACATATAGTTGGTTTTGGCGTTGGAATTTGTAATAGAGTTTGTTCAAGTTGTTTACGTAAAGCTAATTTCGCATTAAATAAATGTTGATCAGTAGTAATACCATTATCTATGATAAAACAAAATTAGAAAAATAAATCTTGTGATGTTCTTAGTCTTTATCGTTTAATAGAAAGTTTAGTGGACTCGAATTTTTAGCCTAATATATAAGAAGTTAATCGAATAAAACTATCGCTCATCTCAACTGGAGAACATTCTACATCGGAAATCATTAAAACCCTTTTCGATTTATGTCTGTAGTGATTAGAAAAAGTTTGTCTTTATTGTTACCGAATTGAATTCTTGAGATATTTTCTACAGATTGAAATATAAATATGAATTGAGCAATTAAATTTGATCGAATTCAATAAGAGACTTGTATAATGTAGTTCTCGTCTCTGACAGAGTACAATCGATGTCTCAAAGGTAAATAAATCCGGTTAGTAAACGAAACATATGTTAAAAAAGTAGCACAATTTTTCCATTGAAATTTAGCATATAACTGAAACAGAACACTTTATGATTGCATTTAAAAGCTCGAATTTCTCCATATTAAATGCTTAACTCAATAGAATGCGTCAATTGATATCGAAAGAAAAAAATCTGCAGACGAACGCTCTTTCGTCGTGAAAAGAAAAAAATAATTGATTATACTTTTTGATGAATTATTTGTTGTCGATACTAGAGAAGAATTTTTCGTAGCTGTCGTTGGTACTGTCGACGATAGACGAGTAGCTGTTGCCGGTTGTGTACTATTAGTTGACTGACGGGTAGCTTGAGGTAACGATTGAGATGATTTTGATACTGGTTGGACTTGTAAATTATTATTTGATCGATTAACTGTATATTGATTTGGATGTGGTGATTTAGTTGGTGTTGATCGATTTGTTGAATTCTAAAAAATACAAATTCAGTCGATTGCTAACGAAAAAATCTATGCAAATAAATTTACTAATGGTTGTTGTTTTGTTGGTGTAGTTGAATTTAACTTTGATGTGTTAACAGGTGTTTTTGTTGTTGTTGTGGTCGTGGTTGTTGTTGTTGGTGGTGGTGGTGGTGGTTTTTGATTTGTTTGTGATGTAATTCGTTGATTTGTTTTCAACTTTTGCATAAGAACAAGTAAAGCTTCTTGACATTGCAATTCATATTGAAGTTGACGATATTCTGATGTCATTTCTTGTTTACTATTATTTATTGTCATTTTAGTCGATTTTATTTTTGATAATAATGTTTGCTGTTCATTATGATGAATTTTCCTAAAAACATATATTGTTATTTGTTTATTTTGTTATTGTTGTTTTTAAGAATATAGAGAAAAGAAGAACGAAACTAAATTTTGTATATACGACGAGTAAGCAGCGAGGTTCGATTTAATGTTCGGAAGCAATGAATGGCGGAAGGTGGGACGCGAGAAGAAAAAGAGAGAAGAAAAAAAACAAGGATGGATGAAAATATCTATCTGTTGGAACGCGATTACTAATGTCGACGATGAGGACGACCAATTGAACGTTACCACGACAATGATTATATTTATATATATATATATATATATATAGAAAAAAAAGGAGAAGAAAAAATGGATGAATGAACGAAAGAAACAAGACAGCGGGCAAGCGGGCGCAACGCTTTTTTTCTCATCGACTTACCCATCATAAGAACTGCCACGGAATCGTTTTGCTGTTGTTGTTGTTGTTATTGTTGTATTGTTATTGTCTGTTGAGATTGGTGTTGATGATTTACGTTTGAGACCGTTGCTTGATATCATTGTTGTTTTTTATCTGAAAATTTTCGAATAAAAAAGAATGGGGTAAAATAGCGACGAGCGATATAATGAACAATGAAGAGTTAGGGAACAATGAAAATGAAAAATAAGACAGGTAGCAGATAGAAACTTCTCGTCTGATAGGATTCCATCGTGTGTATGTAACTGTGTTTTGTTTACCGGCAATCTTGGACGTGGCAGAACGGGTTATTCATCGCTATCATGTGTCTGTTCGCTCTTTTTTTTGCTCGACGAACACGACTTACCCTTGTATTCCAGTTTTTTTTCCATTCTCTTATTTTTTTTTTTTTGTTGGTAAGAAGGGTTGATGTTTTATCGTCATAATTGTTATTCGGCGTATTATAAAATCTGATTTTAACAAGATGCTCGTGCAATAACATATCTTTCATTGATTCATGTTGTATTAACAATAACACAACGGGAAGAAAAGAGGAGAAAAAAAGACGAATTTCAAAGCAATATATTCGACTCATAATGAACGTTCAATACGTTCGAATTGGTTCTAAATCAGCGCACGAATATGACCTTCATTCATCGAACTCGTGAAAAACAGAAATAGACGTTCGCAATATAAAGAAGAAAAAAAGAAGAAGGAAAAGAGTAGCCTACACACATCATGATAGAAGAAAGAACTATACATGCTTTAACTAACCTTCCTTAAACAGCACAGATACTATGGCGGCGAGTCAAGCGTATTCTATTTTTCATCTCTCGTTATTCTTCTTTGCGTTTTTTTTTGCAGAAAATGTCATTCAGAATAGGCAACCCTAACGTTCTAGTGGTAAACAAATAAATAAGTCATCGTTATTCTCTTTACATACTAGTCTACTCTCTTTTATCCACAACAATAGTGATGGTTTTATATCGATATCACATACTTGCTATATTTCTGGTTTCTTTCTGCATAAAAAGAAAAACTCGAACACATAAGCGCATTAAAAAAGAAAAAAGAAAAAAATCAACAACTATACTCTGTGGCGTTTTGCATCTTTAGTTTTCTTTTCTCTTATTCTCTTTTTCTCATTTTTCAATGACAAAACGAATATGAACACATTGCCCATAAGAACGAGCAATGGCAATTGTGCAAATAGACGACTGCAGACACTCGCGCAGGCACACACACTCTCTCTCTCTATTGCACGCATACACAACATATGAAAATCATGCAAAGAGATGAGGACGGGACGAGGGAGAAAAATGTGAAAATCGCAAGTCGACTCGAAGGACAGGACACGTTAGTTGAGAAGGAGAAGAGAGAAAGACAATGCAACCACAAATACACTAAATATGGAGCAAAGTGAGACAGGACGGTTGAATATCTTTTGATCTGTTCGATAAACAAAAAACGTTGACGTACAAGAAATATTCTCTAGAAAAACAAGAATATCGAATGGTTGATACAAAGAAAATCTATATTTAGCTTAATTTGACCAACAACACAAAAACTCAGATGAGTACATGACAAACAGAATTAACCCTATGCCATTAGAAAAATAAATCAAGAGCATTATGTTTCATAGAGACATGAATTTCATAAACAAAAAATTTCTCAATTGATAAATTCCCATAACGTAGTTCTTTGATCTTTTATGAAGAAAATCAAATAGAAAAGATGTCGTCGACTGCGATACTTAAATGATTAATCATATTAAAATCTATTTCAAAATTGGATTATTTATTAGGCATAGCTTTTTTTTTCAATAATAAACACTATTTTCTTAGTCGATTACATTTTATTCATATAGAATAAGATGCAACTGTAGTTAACAATAAACATAATTTTTTCTATTAACCGTTATCCTCTATACTAATAGTATCAATATAAATTTATATAAATTCTATCTATTTTAAATTTCGTTTTTTCTTCATTTTTTCCCAGGCGTAATCGAGATTAATAAAAGAAATTTTCCGGATGTTGACTTGACTAATGCGATGAAGTATTTAGAATTAAAGAAACTATATAGCTATAAAAAAAGGTTATAATGATCATGGAAAATGTCGAGATCATCATTCATCTCTCTCTCAATATATATATATATATATATATATATATATACGTACACGGCTGTTCATTATAGTGTATCACAACTATTTGTTTTTCTATTATCGATATCTAATAGAAGACAGTTTTACGCATTTATAATCAGAATAAAAATAACAATAAGAAGAGCAATAGCGACGGTGCTTCTGTTGTTGGCGACGAATGCCAAACAAGAAAGACACAAAAAGAAAAACGAGAAGGAAAAGAAAAGCTCACATATTCCTGTAAAATGTTCTGTGTGCTAACCCTTCTTTTACCAAGCATCGTTCTCGCAAATTCACGGATATATTTTCTGTGCCTAGTAGAGTGTATTCACAAGAGAAGACGAAGAAATAACAACAAAAAATGGAAAGAGGACAAGAGGAATATACTTTTCTTTAAGAAATATTCTGCATCAATCAAATAAATAATCATAATTGCATAAGCTATTTACGTCCAAAACACGAAAAATACATTTCTGTTTCGTTTTTATTCTGAATATTTATTTTATTTTTTTCATCGGTGGTTTTTTAAGAAATTTTTGTTTCTTTTCATTCATTTCAACAATAGCATCATTAGATTTTTGCATTTTTTCAATGATTTCCATACGCTTATTATACAGCTCTAAATTTTGATCATTGGAATACGTGTCATAAGTTGCATTTGCATTAAGACGAAGTTTAGTAATACGATCGAGTAATGTTGGTGATGAAGTTAGAAGTTTATTGTTTAGTGATTTGTCACGTTTATTTTGTTGATCTTCATCGGATGACGAAATGATATTTGAGAAGAAACCATCGTTCTATTAAAGAGCGAAAAAAAGATTAAACATGATAATGATCAATCTTTTAATGTTATTCTATTATAAAATTTCAACGAAAATTCTTCTTTTTTTTCATTTGGATGTGTTTGTGAAGAACGCTAAACTCAAAGGACACTGCAAAGTACTAAATCTATCGTATAGATATTTATCCCATGGGAAACTCGAGCAAGTATTCACAAAGACTAAGACCTGTCGTTTCAATTGCGACCACGATATATCTGTACCAGGGTTACCAGATCTCCTGTTTTGCCCAGGGATCTTCCGATTTTGAAACTTCTCTCCTGATTTTTTTAATGTGACGATTAGCTTCGTTTTGAATGGAATGATAGTCGAAATCAAATGAGTCATGATTTAGTTGGAGTTGAACACTAAAGTGAACACTCATTTTCAGTGTTGCCCGATGTCGAACTTGAAAGCCTGGAAACTTGCGGAGCTTTTTTCGAATGTTGAAAAAATGCGGAAAGGCGTTTTGGGCCCGTTTTTTCATTTAAAGTACGTTTTACTCGAGCGGATTCGAAACAAAAATACTCTTTACACATATCTACAACATATATTTGAATAAAAAAGTGCACATCCAAGAAGGCTGCCTCATGTTAACCTCGGAAATCCAAAAAATTCCGGAATTTGTTTTTCGAAATCTAGAAAAAATCGAGAAAAGCTGTGAAACTTTGGAAAAACTTTCGAACTCTGGAATTTCTCCAGAAGATGTGGGGATCTGGCAACACCCTCAAGATTTTACTTGACCTGAAACTCTATGATTATCCTTTAAATGAACCAGATCTTTCCAAAACATATATTCTATTATTAGATTTAAGTAGAGTCACGTCGCAAAAGTGTCACGAATTGCTTAGTAAATTGGCTAAGTAGTTTTTATTATGTATTCTAATGAACACGTTTTAGTTATCTATTTAAATAAACTTTATGGAATCAGCATTCTATTTTCAATTTTAATTCGTCTACCAGGAAAACTTTCAGCATCAATCCCATTATAGAAAAAGAGGTTAATGCATCTAGTAGTGAAAAATCGGAAGTTGTCAGAAAAAGATCATTGAATGACTGTTGAATGTCAAAAAAAGCACTCCTCATTTAAGAAAAAAATTCTCCTGAAACATTCCCTGATTTCTGAAAATTTGTATTTGGTAACCCTGATACATACAGGCAATGTTCGTTCGTATAAAATATTTGATTTAATCGAGACTTATCCAAATGAGCGAGAACAATGGACCATGTCTTTGTCAGTAAATACGAAAAGTTTCTTTAGGATTGTTTTTCTTACATATCTTTCCATGTAGGCATCCGACGGGCGTTGTCGTGGAATAAGATTACTTTCTTCAGCTAATAGTTGACAGTCAATGGGTTCACCATCAGCCTTTTCTAATGCCTCATTTTTCTTATTTCGTAAATCTCGTTTGATTAGATGTTCGCGAATAATTTTTTCACGTTCTTCGCCATCTTTGATGCCGAATACTGATGACGGTGGACGTGGTCTGACTCGCATGCGACGTTTTGTACGTTGCTGTAAAATTAATTTAACATCGTGAATAGGATAATTGAAACTTTCCGCAAGTCGATCTACTGCCCAACGATCTAAACAGACAAAACAAATTAGTTGTTTTCTTATCGATTAAAATAAATCATTGGTTTACTTGGGTAATTTTTATGTAAAAATTGCATATGATTTTTAATGTACGGGTCAACTTCAATGTCGTTTGGATGTGCGACATATTTACGCCGGAGGATATGATATCGAACTGTTTGTCTTTGTTTACGCTGTTGCCTATAAGTTAGGAGATATGAAATCGGGGAAAATTCTCTTTCTTTCGCGTGGCAGGTTCAAATATTAAATAGGGTTGTCGAATCTAATTGAACTAGCGCACTGCTATTCTCTAATAGGTCGTTCAGGAAATTATTCGTGCTACTATTGTTAAACAGTCTGCTCGGAGTTATTTCAAGTTGTCTGTCTTGGGAATAGAAAAACTGATTTTTATTGTTTAACTGCAAAAAGAATTATCCGAATTAGAATATAAGTATAGATGGCGTTTTCCGGAGTTGAAAATAAATCTCGATGTGTGTTTTTGTCATAAATTTACAGATTTTATTTTTGTTAAATCTCTTTATTGGCGATTTTCATACAGATAAAATCCTCGGTATAAAGAAGATTCTAATGTAAATAGAGAATCTTTACTGATGTCAAAAGAAAAGGTATTTCGTGTAAGATTATTGACGTGAGTAACCTCTATGATTATTTGCTATAGTAATGCTGATAAATATGTTACTATAAATAGCAGAGACGTAAAAAACCTCTGGGCTGATACTACTCAAATCTACTTTTCTACGAGAAGAAAAGAAAACTCTTTCAAATAGTTAAATCATATTGTTTACTCTTTTTCATATTCAACTTGTAATGATTTATTTCTACTTGTTTGCACAGCCAAATATTCAAGGTCACTTTCAACTTCAGGTCGATAGATATTTGCATATTCATCAAGAATGCTTGGTTGACGTTGACCATTTCTCACAAATTGTTTATTCAAAACAATAGTATTCCAAAGATTTTTTAATAATTTCTGAGACAAATTTGAAGGCAACATTTTTCTCTAAAAATAAAATAAGATTTTATTTCCAAAAATAATTCACACGAGTCTACATAGATTATTCTGTTTTTCTTTTTATTTAACAAACGACACTGACAACAACAACAACAACAACGACGGAGTTCTATTTAAGAGAATATATATGTGTATGTGATCTGCATATGAAAAATGAGTCAATGAATTGATTCATCAAATGATTTCAATTGATACCAATGAGCTATTTGTTTGGTTATTTGTCGATGGCATACGTCATTCCAATGTTGGTTCATTTCTTTTCCAATGAAACATGCGCCAATAGCTTCGTGTTTCATATGACTATCGTAATCAAAAAGTATTATCTCGAAATGAATATTTTCAATATCATTATCTGGTATCTTAAACGTAAAACACTCGTTATATACAGGACATTGTGTTGTTCGTTTAATTGTACTGCGTTTTTTGAAAATACGTTGATTTTTATAAAACATATAAATTTTAAAATACGGATCTAAACGAAAGAACAAAAGTAGTCAAGACGAAGGATAAAATTCATGAACTTACTCATTAATTTCGTTGTGCCTATTCGTGGTAAATTCGATGCTTTCAAGACAATTATTGTTACATTACTATCAGCCGGCTGATAGCACATCGAGAGTAATATTTGGCCAAGGTCTTGATTACTTAGCTGCAATGAAAAAGCAAATAATTGAATTTTCATCTACGAAGGATATTTATTTGTCTCTACGCCTACTAAATGTTTTCTAGGAAACAAACTTCTAGTGATTTACATTGCTATATTTTTATTTGACAATTAAAATACTTCCGCACCTGCGTATGACGAGTTGTTAAATTTTGTGTAAACGTCATTTCAGTTGAATCTAATGCATCTGATTTTAATGGAAAAATAACTTCGCCAACAACTTCATCTCTTGTAAATGTATCATACGTTGAAATTGTGAAAACAAGAGAATAACCCTTAGTATTTATTTCTTCAATATTAATGCATTGAAACAGTTCGTCATAGATTGGATAAGCATTTTTTTTAACAATATGCGTTCGCATTAACGGAAATGTTTCTTTAATTAAAAAAAACACAAATTCATATATTTATATTGGGAAAAAACTATATTTACTTGGAATATTATTCTCTGTTGGCGTCGAAGTAAGTTCTAGTCGAACATAGGAATCAATTACTGAAGGTTGTCGATGCCGTCTATGAATAAATAAATGTCGAGCGCTAACAACACGAACAAATAATGATTTTGTGATTTCATCCCATCGAAGACCGAATGTTAATGAAGCTGGCTCAGCTATGCATTCCATTGTTAAAGAGTACGATAATGCCGACGACGACTTTGTCGATGCACATTGATCTTGCCGATGTAGCATACTTGTTTCAGGCCATGAAAATGAACTTTTAATTATACCTGTTGTTTCACAATGAATGGGATACGATTTTTTATCATCCGGAATTGACAATGTAGCTAAATTATCGCACGATGTCGACGCCCATGGGCGGCGCCAATCTCCTGTAATACTGTATGTTGAAGCATTTGTTGGATTTTTACGATGAATACGATAGCGAGAGATAGCTAAACCAACAATGAGTATGACAACAACAAAAGACGAAACAATTATGAAGATCATTATAGATGGAAATGAATGTCCTAGCGTATAGGAAAATATTAATAAATAATGTACTTGGTAAAAATAAGAGGTCGGATACAGGCTGAAATAGAATATAGACAAGCAATTCTAATGAAAGAAAAATCACTATTCTATAGAAATCCCTAGGTGAATCAACTCTTTTTGATGTTGAAAAAAAAAGCACAAAGCATAATTAAGGAAAATCCGTTAATAATCTCATCATAACCGTTATGGCGAAAAGCCCGACTTCCGACTATTATACGTACTTAGTCTTTATACCGTTATGTCTAATGTAGTCCCTGTCTACTCAGAGTAGTATTTCTATTCATCAAATGTTTGGAATCAACTAAGACATACGAATTTTCCTCGAAGATCATTTTATAAAAATGAATGATGCATTTATTGCGTTCTCAGAGTTCTATATTTCTTCTTCTTCTCCTTCTTGATTTTTTCTTGCATCGGCCAGTAAGAGAAAAATTGAAGTTTTCTCTTTCTACTCCTTTTCCGGCCATAGTCGCCCTCAAAACATCGCGCTAGAGAGAAGAAAGAAGAACTCATCAATCTGGTTGTATTGTTCTAATGAATGAATGAATGAATGAATGACAAGTCATCAGAATAGATGATAAAACAGAACAAGCGGAAGAAGCATTTATTATCTCTTACAAACAAATTCAACAATAGATTCCGATAATCTCATCACTTGTCTTTTCTTCCTGAAATAAAATTGAACATATAAGTAGGTTAAGAAGATGATCCATTTATTTCTTCAAGTACATCTTTGTCAGTAGTATAGGGCAGCAAAAAAACTGACATGAATTGATAATCACTCGCGCACACATATATATATATATGTATGCATATCACATTCGTTTACGTGCACGCAAGATTGACATGTAATTATCGAGCATGCACGAGCGAAAAACTTCAGAAGAAAAACAGATGCAAAAAAAAAAAAGAGCTCATCACATTTATTTGATCGTATATGAGAGCAGAAAAAGAAATGCGACAAGCGAAACAACTGTTAGAAGAACAACAAAAAAAAACTAAATGCAAAACTCGAGTAATACCATTAAATGTGGCACATAGAAACAAAAAATTAGACACTGGTTTAGTTCCTGAGATTCACTACAAGAACAATTAAAAACCGGTTGTCGGAAGACAATCAAAAAGAAAAGAAAAATACGGGAATGTAACGAAAACATAAATTGATCATTCAGATAAATATGTATGTATATTATGTGTGTGTGTGTTGAACATACAAACACTCTCATTCAATAAACACACAACAGCAGCAACAAGAAAAAAACAGTTGATTGTTTTATATACAAAAACTCACTCGCGAAGACAACGCACAACTTCGGAACGATTTAAACGAAACTGTGTCCAACAACGTGGACCGGCAAAGTGAAATGGTGCATTTGTTAAGTTTGCCAACGGTTCGGCTGTGTCATGATTCAATTGTCGATCGACACGACCTGATATTAATCATTCATAGTTAATTTTTTATTGAAAAGCAAAGGAACTACTCACGTCGATTACGTTGAGATTTGTCAGGAGTATTTATATCATGATTATGTGACTCAAGTGTTTTCATCTGAAAGACTAATTCATCGGGTTGATCTCGCGGTAAGATGCGAAATTGGGCTGTCGACCTTTTTCCTTTATGACTTTTGACGGATAAAGGACGTTTATTTTCATCATCATTTGACATTGGTGGCGTTAATTCCGTTAGATCTAAGCAAAAATAATGGATGCTAAAAATTTATTTTTCGTCGATTCTATTTTTTTCCTCTAGATTGTCGAGAAATATGAATTCACATTTCGTGCTAACGAGATCGTCTGTCTTTTTCAGCATGATTCATGCGTCGGGTCACGCAATAAACATCAATCATAGAAATTACTTGCAATTCTTTATTTATATTTTTTCTATGAGGGGGAAGAAAAACTTCGAGACTAAATATGGAATCACTTGTTACACTCTTCAAGATATATAGAGAAAGTATCAACAGTTAGAAACTTGAGGAACAAAGTTTTTGCAGCAATCAAATGTCACAATGGAGAGAGTAAATCGCCGGGGACTCACCTAGATATTTTTCTGATGGCGCCTCTACTTTTGATGTAAAAATCGGCATTACACAAAGCTTGATTATTTTTCCAAAAAAATGGAAATTCAACCAGCTGTTTCAGGCCCGACATGATGGAATTTAGACATCCCAAAAAACAAGCATAACACAATCGAGGTACTTAAAAGACATAGTTGTTCGTAACACTTAATAGCGGAGAAAAGCCGGCTATCGAATAAATTTTGCATGTGATTTAACTATCGAAATAATGCCTAGATCGACTTACTTGATGTATTAACAACAGCTGAACTATTTTCTCTCATCAGTAATGTTTCTGTGATTGTTGTATTGTCAGTGACAGTAATAGAATCATTTTTAAGTATTTGAGAAAAATGTCGTTGTATTGTGTCTTGTACACTTAATTGTTTTTGAAGTTTATTGCTTGATGATATTTGTTGTTCATCGGTATTTTGTGTTGTAAGATCAGCAATAATTTTACTTGGATGTTTTCGTTTTTCAAATGTACCATCTCGAACTAAACAGAAAGGCATTTTTTGTATTTGGAAACGAAAAAAAACACATTTGTTTTTTGTCACTCAGTACTTCTTAGCATAATATCCTCTCATGAATTTTCGAGAGATAATTTAATTTTCTCATCATAGTGACAATTTTATGTTGTTTTTTTTATACTTACTAAATGATGATGTTTGTTGATCAACACCGAATACTTTTTGTTGAATGTTAACCTGACGGGTATTGTTAGGATATATCATAGTGCGATGTCTTCGAGGTGGTTGCTGATAACCACCATGATGATGTGAGCTTGTATGTTCGTGTCGTTGTGAATATTCATTTGCATTATCTGAATCACCATTTGATGATGAATTTAATCCACATTCTTGATTTATCCAGTGGCGTAAAACTCTGAAACATAGGTTCGAACCGTTGACCAATGAAATTCAAATGAGTCAACCCATTGAACTATAATAATTCAATTGTCTTACCGTATAAATGGTATGACCATAAAGAAAGCTTTGGGATTAATGTTTAGTTTCAGTTGCGATGTAGTATCACGTCTATGGCACGGTAAATCAGCTATACGAAACCAGCGCGTATCCTACAAAGAAAATCAATTATAGATAATAATCTTTTTCTTTTCTCTCAATATTATCGATGTTTCATTAGGTATTGGAGAGTAAAAGTTTTTTTTCGCAGGCTGAAATTAGAGTGAAAAAAATAGCTTTTAGTCAATCAATGTAAATTTACATCATTAACCGAATTATCGTGACTCGTACTGAATTACACTGTGAGAGCTTATTAAATAAACGATGACGCTCTTATTATATAAACAAGAATTTTCAGGAGCTGTTACATAATCACATAAGGAATAAATTTTATTGCTATGTGTATAGAAAGCAAAAAGATAACTTTATCTGACATTGCACCTAATAATATATATATATATATATATATATATATATAGAAACTAGAAAAAGCACGCAGCCTACGGATTATTCTGGATCATTTTACTGAAGTTTTAGAAAAAACGTTTCTCAAAAGAATATTATTGTACTTTTTTGATACATTAGAAATTAACGGAAGGGACTTATTGTGAAAATTGCAGCTGTTTTTATTTGCGCTTCTATGAAGGCAGTAAAAGCGAGATTAGAATAATAATCGTGCCAAGGCCTCAGTAAAGTTGAGTTCAATGCGAAATTTCTTCTTGAAAACAAATGCAAGGGTCAAGGCATTTTGTTTCAACGAATACTCTAAAAGTGCGATATTTACGTAGCAATAAACAGGTACTATTTTTAGGATAGAAAGTAGTAGAATCTTTGATTGTTCTATTTAAAAAAATGAATACGAGAAATTTTTAATAAACCCCTCTACAGAATAGAAGCCCATGGGTGGTGCCTCTGTTCCGCAAGCTATAATTTTGTAGGAAAGTATGTTCTGATGTCAGTTTTTGCGTTATTTGATAGAAAAATATTCATCCTGCCATTTTTCATGAAGTAAATTTGATTTTCAATGGAGAAATCTAACCCAGAGGGTGGGCTTCTATTCTGTGTAGGGGTTTATGCGAACGAGTGAACTTTACTTTGATTTCATTTTTGGTTTTTGGTGCAAAATTTGTATCAAGCGGAACATGTTTAACAATATATAATCGAATTAATTGCCCATTGACATCACGTTCTAAATACTGATCTTCAAAAGCACGTTCTTTCATATCGAAACCGACTTCTTCCATAACCTGCAGAGATTTTTTTAATTTAGAAAAATTCAATAAACAAATCTAATTCTTACTTCTCGTATGGCACATTTTATTGGAGTCTCATTTTCTTGCACTTTTCCTTTCGGGAAGCCCCAACTTTCACGATTATAAAATCCTTTTACCAGAAGAATATGTTCATATGTGGGATCGAGTAAAACAGCACCATAGGTGGGTACGCTTAATTTATATCCACGCCACCGTGATATAAAATCATCAAGATTATGCACATAATTACGTAGAAATGGACAATGTACAAAAACTATTTATTTAAACGAAAGAATTAATTTTTTGAAAAAGCAAATCGAATTTATTAGTCTTACTTTGCTGAGCAAATTCTTTTATATTACACACATATAAATCGTCGTCATCTTCGCAATAGAAATCAATATAAAACCAATGAGCCAATTCAACAGCGAATAATACTCGGACAAGATCTTCACGTTGTTCAGCTGGGATATTAATAATAAAACGACTTAAATAGATTTAATGGGTATTTCTATATGTATATATATTTATAAATCGAAGGCTACTACAAATTTACTACCTGCATAAATCGTCTAATACTTTTTCGGGTATTTGATGTTGATCAGATGGCATTTTTATTTAAAAAAATAACATACAAGGGACAGTTGGAACAAACAAAGAAAAGAGAGAGAGAGAGAGAAAGAGAATAGGATTTCGGATTTCAGTTCTTTTTACATCTAAATTGACAGACACGTTTTCATATGATCATGTTCCTCTCCATTCACATTGGACGAAAGCAAAAACACGCGGGTAAAACATGGATGATAATAATAGGACAACTTGATGTTTATTTATGGTAAATAAAAATCTTGTTTTGAAAAATTTCAAAAATGCCGTTACAAAGAATTCCACCATTAGTTTCACCGGAATTACTCTATGCATTGGCGTCGATGGGTCATGGAGATGAAATCGTTTTAGCAGATTCAAATTTCCCATCGGAATCAGTAGCGCGAGCAAATGGTGCTCGATTGATTTTGTGCGATGGTCTACCGATACCGAAGCTTCTACGGCAGATATTAAAACTACTTCCATTAGATCAATATGTTCCGCAACCAGTTGCTTTAATGGATCTTGTGGATAATGATAAAAGCAAAGGTTTACAAGTTCCCATCTGGGAACAATACAAGCAAATCGTTGGAAATAATGTTCAATTCGAAATGGTTGAACGTTTTCAATTCTATGAAAGAGCTAAAAAGGCTTTTGCGATTGTTCGTATGTATCTATGAAAAACAGATCTTTTCTAAGCTTATGGAAAATTCCTTTTCTCATTTAATCATTTGATTATTCTGATGCAGAGTGCTTGTTAGACATTGTCTATGGCATTCGTTGACAGGTGAATATGGTTGTAACCTATTGTCATTGGTAGGAACATTTCTGATTATAATCTCAACATTATTAAGAATAGCATCGAGCTACTTGTTTGTAACAAAGCTGTACTAAGACAAAGAATCCATAACAATACTAATGAGGACATGATTAGAACGAGATAAGTCGAAGGTTACATTCAATGCATAGAAATAAGAATCACTATGTCGAAGGGCAAGCATCCATTCCGAATGTCATTTCAAGGACGATCAATCCACTAGCGCGAGTAGTTTGATTCGTTCATTTGAAATATTTCGTGTGAACTCGGCGTAGATTTGTATAATTCATCTTTTTCTAGGTACGGGTGAAAGCGCAATATATGCAAATATTATTTTGAAGAAAGGCGTTGTCGTGGCTAAGAAACATCCGACAAGCGAAGATGAAGATACAAATGAATAAAATCAAATCATCAATATACACTTATCAAGCATTTTTACTTGTAATTTTTATTACCAAAATTAATGTGATTTATTAGATTTAAAAAATAAAAAAAGCTAATTTTAGAATAAAGAAAAAAGTATTTTTCCAGTTTTAGATTCAACTTAAAAATTGTATTTTTTCTACTACAATGAATAATCCGTAAGCGAATGAATGTCTATTGAGGATCTATCTTCATCGAATCATTTAGATCGCCGTCCATAAACAGTCTTTTATTAAATTTAAAATCTATTGTTGAATTAGTAATTAACTTTCACGGTGATTCGCTATCAATACAATACGGTGCAATAGAAAGAATCAGATCAGCTATACTTTCAATTCTATTGCATGGTTTTAAACAGGTGTGTGTGTGTGTGCTATTAGAGAGGCTCGACTGTTTGTGCTAGTAAATCATATAATCTGATTGTCTGCTAAAAGTAATTTAACTAGACACATAAAGTCATTAGATTCTAAAAAATGCCATGGAACTATAAATATTTACGAGAACGTCTATGTATGTTTTCCTTTAGCATGGAAATGATACATTTGAACACGTATGGCAGTTTATTGTTCGTTTAAATTCCAATTCCCAAAAATATATTCGTCTTTTACAAGATGTTTATCATAAAGAAAATCTTCGAATATCAATCGAACAATGGGTCGATCAATCCCTATTAACTGAATGTTTATCTCAACAATTATCCTTTATTGAGAATGATATTGATATACTTGAGCAATATTATTATTGTAAGAAGTTCGGCTTAGATTTTTGTATTTTTTATTATTATTATTCTCTGCTGTATTTTAAGAGACATTAGTTTTTTAGGAGATGTTAAATGCATATACGACTAACGTCGACGGCCGATATAGGGTCGCCTATTTTTTAAAAAATGATGTCTTCGATCAGGAACAAAATAAAAGTAATCGCCCTGACGATAGATAAGATAGCCCGTGCCACGTTCATTACGCTCTAGAAGAATATTTCTGTTGTTGTTGTTGTTGTTGTTGTTGATAGTATTATCATTGGAAACTGCTCGATGTTGATTTCTATGAGGTTTGGTATTGAATAATAAGGATGCATTTGTAATTGATATCAATGTCCAGAAGATGAATAGAAAGAAAACTAGGAGTAGTAGGACACGGCCTGCCGACGTTGGATGATACGTCGTTGTAATGAAGAAGAAGAGCATTGATTTATGTTGAATACTCTTCTTCTTCGTATTCTTCTTCTTCTTCTTCTTCTTCTTCTTTTTCTATTGTATTTGTTATTACGCTTTCGTTGGTTGTCACTCGTATTTCTTTCTTTTTCTTTTTATTCTATGCAACAAAAATGAGAAACTGTAAGAAGACAGAGACAATAATAGAGCCAAAGTGTTGTACTCTCCTAATTTTCATGATAAAGAACAAACTTTTTGTTAGTTTGATTATTTATATTTAAAAGAATGACATATCATCTACTATTAAGTTGCGAAATGGAAAGATTCGAGTGTAAGAAAAACAACTGAAGAGTTGCGGATGTTTAGCAGTCAACTGTGATACACAGAAATAGTATTTGCTATTTTTTCTCTTGCTTCTTCTTTCGAGTCATGCCAATAGAATGTTTACTGAGTATTCCTAATATTTATTTTTGTTATTGAATCTATACTCTAGTTTATTATATTTGTCAAAACAAAGCAAATTTTCAATCAATTTAAATATGCATAAATCTACTTACGACGCGGGTGAAGAAGCCGATCAAAATACCATAAATATGGTTCTATTGAACATAAACTTGAAAATCTTAAATGTAACAAGAAAAGACAAGCCATGACTAAATAATGCAAAAAAAATTAGATCGCCATTCTTCCATGTTTTTCCCTTGAAGAAAAATTTATGTGAACAAAAATCTGACAGAATTTCTTTCTCTTGTTATTAGCTTGTCAAAAACTCTTTGGGGTAACGCGCAAGATGAAAGGGCTTTAATGATGATGATGATGATCATCATCATTATCATCATGAAGACTTGATGATTTCAACGATTAAATAAAGAAAATCTAGACGAATGATACATGTATATGATCAATACAAAAACAAAACAAAAAAGGTCATACAATAAACTAATGGTGTCGAACACTGGATGTCAATACTAATCTAATCGACGAGATATTTTTGATTAGACCTAATGAAGTAATTATACAAAGAGGGAACTAGTGAGCTTGCTTTTTGATGTTATCTTAAACATTATTTTTATTCCTATGAAGGACACCGTATTATTTCAAATGACGCAAAAAAACAAGAAAAAAAAGAACTTCATCAAATGAGTAAACATTAATCTTTCTCTTGACGTGCTTTTTGCTGAACAGCTTATATTACAGGCGTCAGTTTTTTCTTCTTTTCATGTTACTCTCTCTCTCTCTCTCTCTCTCTCCCCTTTTCTGTCCAGTAGATTAATTATATTGCATTTTCTCAGGCAAATAAATAAATGACAAATGATTTTAACTAATAAAAAACAATAATTGTTTCCTGTTCTTTGTAGGTAATGCTTTTTTGCGATCATTACCTTTCCATCAGGCATTTCTGACTTGTATCCATAGTATAGAGTCGAATAATGTATCATTATTGGCTAATATTGACCCAAAATTGGTAAAACAACATGTCTATATATATATATATAAATACCTAAAAGTCTTATGGTTTCTATTTTAGTCTGTTGCTGAACCGGATCCGACGCCAACAGTAGCAAACACTGTTATATATAGATCATTTTCATCTACAAAAGTTGCTACACTAAATCAAAATGTGTCTAAAAGGATTTCATCTGTTGATGAAAGTCAAGAAATACGTCGTAAGAGAAAACAATTGTTTTTTCATTATTTCAAAAGAAAAATATAATAAAATTTCAATTAGGCTCCACTGTGAGACCATTTTCTATTCAGGAAAATAATTCACAGAATCCTTTTCGTTTTCCGTCAACAATTTCATCGAATGAATTCACATTAAGTCAAAGTGGCAATTTTTCGTATCCGGATGATTATGGATCTGGCTCGGATTCACGTACAGGCTCATTTTTATCAATTGATCGATCGCTACCAATAGGAAGCGATCATCGGGCAACATTTATCGACGAGGAAGAATATCAGATTTATGAATTAACACAACTTCCCACCACTAGTGATCTAACAAAAAGTAAATCGCTAAAATTAAAATGATCGTCAAAAGAATTGCTTGCGAGATCTTGATTTTCGTTAGTTGTAATAGGAGACACTTGAAATTCTTTGCTACTGGAAATTGAATTTTTAATCCGAACGAACGGCAATAATTAAGATTGTTTTTTTTTAGGTATACGATTACCCTACTCATCTTTGTTTTGGCCCAGAAAAGGGCAAACATTAGATAATTATATACGTGAATGTGATTCGAAGACACGAACCGATGTTGAAAAGGTATAGGATTTTTTTTTCCATCAAAAATTGTAAGATGTTTAAATGATTTTTCTCTTTTTTTTTTCAAAGGAAAATGCTCATTTTTATTTTAGTGAAGCAATTATATCTGCTATTGAATATATTAAATTTAGTGAGCAATGCAAAAAATATTTCGATTCATTCGATCAAAGTGCTGACACATTAAATGATTTTCAATGGTCAGGTCAACAATTCAATGCAAAGTAAATTATTTTACTTTTAATATTCGAAATTGATTTATTTTTGTAGGGAAGATCCATCAGCGGAAGCAATAGGTATTCTAATAAAAAAACGACTTCGCTTAATTCGTATTGATTATTCATTTAGCATTGAGTATTATGGAAGCATGGAAAAATCATAAGATACCAACAGCTCATGAGCTGTTTTGGATGATTCCTCATGAAGAAGAAATATCAGAAGAGGTACAGATAGGAAGACTGACTAGACGTGTTTTGTATAGCTTTTAGCTACAGGATGGAAAATATCAGATAGACTGTTTCCTCATGTGACAACTATATTATCAAGTTCGATCTATGGCGTGCGTCTTAAAATTGCTAGACAGTGGCGCCATCTGTTGACATTTTCATATAATAAAACGATAATTATTCATATTATTTTTTTTCAGTCATCTGCACTGGAAGATAGTAAAAAATTTGATAAAAGTGATGATTATGCTCCTATTGAAGGTAATCAACGAGTAAGCATTGTGTTTTTTTTTCATTTATCAAAAGGAGTCTGATTTTCATTCAAGATTTTACGACGTGGTAATAGTCATTGGGCGCCACCACGTGAACAATTGATCTTTCATATTCATCAATCTGTCAAGTAAGTAAACTTTAAAAAAACAACAGAAAAGCGTTCGCAAGTATTTCGAAAGAAAATCTAAGTTCGATATTATTATCTGTTCTCCCCGCGACTAATGATAACTTGATGACGATTGTGAAACAAGCGCAATGCAAACGTTTACAGTTTATTGATTTCTAGATCATTATCAATGATACCCATTGAAACGATTTTCTTTTTGTTTATTACGGCGTAAATTTTTTTTCGATTAAATAATGGATTTGTTTTCATATTTATCTAGTCGTGATAGTCAATTAGAAAAGCAAAGTTATTTATGTGCTGGTTGTGGGCGTTTTGCTGAAAAAGGTTACGCCCACCGATTTCGACATTGCGAATATACTGGTAAAAACAAAATTTTCTTAAAAATTTTACGAATAAAGATTGCTCTTTGGATTCAGGCAAATATTTTTGTCGTGGTTGTCATTGCGACAAAAAAATCTATCTACCATCATATATAATACATAAATGGGATTTTTCAAATAAACATAGTGTATCGAATTTTGCTTTCGATTATCTGAATCGAATATATACAGAAGCCATATTTAACATTCATGATCTTAATCCAAAATTATATGAAAAAAGTAATAAATTAAAAGTAATGAATGAACTTCGTTGGACACTTTTTTTTCTCCGTCGTTACATATTAACTTGTCGGTTTGCTAAAGAAAAAGGGTATGAAACTATTGTTAAGTTTTCTCCTGCATGGTTATGAATAAACATATGTTCTAGATGTCAGAAAACTTTAGAATCAATGCCACCCTATATCCATGAACAACCGCATTTGTATTCACTAGAAGATTTAGTGAAAGTAAATAATATTAATTAATTAAATTTCGTATTGTTCTTTTTTATTTCTAGACAAAACTAGGTGATTTACATAATGAACTGGAGCCGATTGTCACAAGTTTGAAAGAACATGTTTTAACATGTGATCTATGCTATGCTAAAGGTTTCATATGTGAAATATGTAAAAATGAGAAAAATATTGTTTTTGCATTTAATATTAAAACAACGAGCACTTGTTCGGGTGAGCATTTCTCATGTCTAACTTATTTAACAGGATAAAGAAATCGTATTTCAGTATGTCAATCGTGCTTTCATATTCGATGTTTTGAAAAAAACAAATACAATTGTCCAAAATGTGAACGAAATAAACAGAGAAAGTAAGTTGAAAATGAAGTATGAGCTAACGAGAATACAGAATCTACGTCATAGAGAATTCATTATATAGTTTTAAATATAAAGTCTACGGTCGAAAACGATCCATTGAATTTTCTTAGATCATCCCTGGACAAATTGACATCTAATCTAATTTTTTTCTTCTCTCTCTTTAATTTTAGTAGTCTGACTCCATCGAATGCCAATGCTTGACAAAATCCAAATCAACTTCAGTCTTTCATTAACTTGTTTTTTCCACGCTAATTTTCTATTTAAGCACATGTCAGTCCAGGTATTTTTTTATTGATTATAGTTTGACATTTCACTTCTCTGGAAATCAATAATAAGATCTACTTAATAATGATAAACATATAACCTTGATTACTTAACTACCTTTCTAATATTTGTATAAAGAATCTAACATATATATATACACATATTTATGTATCTACAAACGAATGCGGGTGACAGCATTAATTGATCGTTGCTCGCTGACGAGCGTCGAGAGAAGCAATTTACAACAACCGCGATAGCGAGAGAAAAAGAAAACAACAAACGGTACCATTACGATATGTATTCTCAAGAAAATGAATGTCATAATCATTGTACTGTGACGTTTGATAGGAACTAACCAAAGAAAGAAAAATCGAAAGATTTATTAATTATATCCATCGATGTTTATGCTTGTGCTCGTTTTTTATGCAGCAAATGCTCCGTTCTAATCGGATTCAAATATGAATATAAGTTGTTACGCAGATGTTAGACGTCTTAGTTGTGTATTTCTGTGACCACGTAATGGTCATATAACGAGTCATAATCAGCAAGAAGCGTCATTTGGTTCCACAACAGTTGTTTGTTTGGCATATCGACAGCCAAGAAAAAAAAATTCTTTACCGTCTCAATAGAATATATTGTCAGTTGGGACAAACAGATAAAAAAAAGCCTTCAATCTATCAACGGAAAGAGGTTGATGATGATCAAACAGAGGATCATTTTTTCTTGGCACATATACAACTCGATAGTACAACATCGACGACGAAGTAAGAAGTGTTAAAATAAAAATAATTAGTGGAAGTTTCCCCTCTTTTGTTTTTGTTGAATTTATCAAAACCGATAAACTGCGGTTCGGTCTTTTCTTTTGCTCGTTGTTTATTATCGATAATGGTCTTCATCTCGCTTATTTCCTGTATATAATTATAGGAGCATATAGTTACTTCTTCTGTAGTATATCTTCGAAAAACAATCTTCTTAAGCAATATCTTTTAGATACTGGTCATAAATTGCGCTTGACTGCTATCTTCGTTCTCATTGTGTACATTATGAGTGCTATTTTCTTTCTTGTTTCCATACGAATAAGACAATGCGTTGCATTTGTATGAATGGTAAAAGTAAATGAGACAAAAAAAGAGTCATATTGATTGTATATCTAGCATATATATATATATATATATATATACACACTATCCAGTCGATTTATATGAATACTTTTTCCGTAAAAATGCGTATCAATCATAATAGGGACGAAATAACCAGATGAGTCGACTGTTTGATTACTTGGTGTTTAATTTACTATAATGAACAATAAATTAGTACGTCAATCATCTCAAATTATTTATATCAAAAACCTTTCTCGTGATGCCACACATGTACGAGCATATTCATTGCCTGTATCGTTTAATACTAGAAAAACTATCAGGTAACTGCGCTTTTTTTCTCGTCATCTTCTACATATATAAATAAATATATATTTTTTTCGATTAATTTCAACATAAGCGAATTATCACTAAGAATTTTTCCTAAATGATCCACAGGGTATTCGGACATAGTCTTTTTCTCGTTTCTTGTTGTTATAATCGAAAAAAATGGATCATCTATCAGTCAGTTATCTCGTTTTGACATGAACATGATGGAAACGACAGCGTCATCATCATCATCCTCATCCCGTCGTGTAATTATCGTTCGACAGATGAGTTTTAAAGTACAGTCAACGATAAGTACGTTGAACTGTGAAAAAGTGCCTAAGCACGGATCAAATATAGTCACATCTATTTCAACATCAAACAAAAACAGGAAATCATTTTTCAAGTAGGTTCTTATTTCTATAAATAGAAAATCGTTTAGTATTTATTTTCTATGATAATATTAATGGAAAAAGTCGATGCATATGTTCCTGATTATTATTATTTAATGCGAACTCGTTTTCACTGCATGATACCGGATTAATTACATAGGCGAAGAAGAAGCTAGATAAAATGTTAGATTTATGAATACGCATTTAGCAATGAATATGTCAATCGTAGCATAATTAATACTATTAAATAAAAACAAGGATCAATAGAGAGGACTCTTCGACAGACGCTTTACTTTTATGCATCATAGTGTATTAGTACTAGTCACTATAAGAGCAGATGCTGATGATTTTCCGGTGAAATAACACATAACAATGGGGTGACGAATAGCTTGATAACATAATTCTTTCTTTTCTCTCCTAGCATTTATTCGATGACGTTAGCAGTCAGGCACGCACACGCATACAACTGAATGCCGATCAAACAAGGAGTAACAGCAGTGTTGTCTAGTGCCATTTCTTTTTCTGCCTTGCACTGGTGATGTACTCTATTCTGTATTGATTGGAATAGAAGACACCGGCCTGCTTCTTTTCTCTTCTTCTTTATATGTACGTGCGTGTGTATATATGCAGTCTATGCTGTTGGTTCGATTGTATCCATCTGCATACTGATCCGATTTTTCTGGAGGGAACGAATCATCCAAAACTGTTTTTCGATCAGAACTAGACAAGAATAATGCGTCCTGGTCAAGTTGTTGTTCTACCTCGAGGCGCGGCTCTAGCTTTGGCACGATCAAAGTATAGGAAAACAAAATCGAGCACTTTTTCTAATCGATATCCATAATCTAAACTTGATTTTATCTCATTTTACAGTAGTATGCGCCGTCGACAAGCTAAAGATCCGACATCTACTCGCGATAAACGATTGTGTACGAAAGAAAATTGTTTAACATGCTGCAAGAAATTCACCGCATTTATGTTTTCACGTGTTGGCTTATTTCTTGTGATGATTGGTTATGTTGCGCTGGGTGGCTTATTATTTCAGGCGTTGGAAGCTGGAAATGAACATGATATGCGTCGTATTATGCATGATGAACTGACTATAACACTTGAAAAATTATGGAAAGGCATTTTAGACGCTAATCCACTTCCGGACAAAGAAAAACGACGAAATTTTAGTATTTATGCAACAAATGAACTTCAGTATGACACTTTTGTTTGAAAGAGGAAAAAGGAAAGGCTCAATTTTTGCTCCTTTACCGTTTTAGACTATTTGAAAATACAGTTACTCGACAAGTAGAAAAAGGTTTTGATGGACGAACAACAAATTCCGAACATGATTGGAATTTTTTTGGTGCTGTTCTGTATGCTGTTACACTTATCTCAACTATTGGTAAGGAGGAGCGAGTCCGCTTCTTTTTTTTTTTTGGTGACGATTATTCTTTCATAGGTTACGGCCATATCACGACAAAAACGACGCAAGGCAAAATAGCGACTGTTCTTTATAGTGCATTTGGCGTACCTTTGATGATGCTTTTCGTAGCAAACATTGGTTCAACAATGGCAAAGCTATTTGCATTTGTATTCAGTCGTATAACAATGGTATTTTGTTGTCGAATGACTAATAAAAAAAAACGAGCACTAGCATTGAAAAATCGACAAAAATTAATGGGAAAAAATAATCATTCTGCCATTGCGATCGATGAAAAATTGCCAATATCAGCAATAAACGCAAAATCAAATTTAAAACAAATCAAAGATGACAACGTCAAACAAATGAATTCTTCAATGACGGAATCATTGCCGAATTTCACAACAGATAATAATTATTCAAATGAATTACGACAATTACCAGCCGATATGCGTTTAAATATTCTTACAGGAATGCCGAATAAAAGTAAAACGAATTCGTTAACATCATCAACAAATTCTATTGGAGAAAAATCCAAAGATGCAATTTTTCGCATCAATGAACTCATACGACAAAATTCTGTTCAAGATATAGAAGATACAAATGTTGACGATGTACCTGAACGGCGACGATCGATTGACGTTAATCCTATTCAATATTATATTAATGAAACAAACAAATTAACAAGCAATCTTGATGATCCGGCTCACGATCAATCAATCGTATCTATAGAACAAGACGAAAAAAATATGAAACAAGTAAAAATTTAATTTTCTTCAAATAAGATGATTCACACTAGTACATTGACGATAACGGAATCATGTGCTAGAAATATTTCTCAAGGGCAAATATATGACATTTTCTATGTTTATTTACAGGTTGCCACAGTAGAAGATGTGGTCAATGAAGAAAACACTAAAGAGTCAAAAAAGAAATCGAAAAAAAATTTAAAACGTTCAAAATCTGAATCAACACACGATCGAAATTCAACAAAAAAAGCTATTAATAATGTATCATCCACTGATGAGAATACACCATCAACTACAACAACAACAACAACAACAACAGCAGCAGCAGCAAAACCTTCGCGTCGTCGTTTTTTCTCACGTAAAAATAATAAATTAAAAAAACAAGTATCTACCGAAGATGATACTAATCAAAATTCATTAAATCAACAGACCAATGAAAAACTATCACACAGATCAAAAAGTCTTAAAGAACCACATTCTACTCGATCATCGCCACCACCACCGGATTATGAACAATCGACCATCAACGACATAACTCCAATACCAACAACTATAAAATGGAAAGGTGAACATGAATTTTATCCAATGAATACAGCATTAGATTTAGCAAATGGCGACTTTAACGATGAAGATTACGATGAGGATGATGACGACGATGAAGAAAGTGTTCCTTTACTTGTTACTGTTTTTGTCATTCCGCTTTATTTAACACTTGGAGCAATTCTTTTCAGTATTTGGGAACGATGGAGTTTTCTTAATGCATTTTATTTTTGCTTTATTACATTGACAACAATTGGCTTTGGTGATTTCGTACCGGGATCATCATTAAAAGTTGAAGCTGAAAAAGAAAAACTTATATCTGCAGCTGTATATATTTTATTTGGTCTCGTACTTATTGCGATGTGTGTTAATTTAATGAAAGAACAATTAAGTCAAAAAGTCAAACGAGTCGCTAGCAAATTGGGCAGTTTCTGAATTATAGGAACATTTTTCATAAATATGTGCGCGTCTGATTGTTTTCCTCTTCTTTTTTTTTGTCTCTGTACCTTTCTAATAAATAAAGAACGACAGAAACGATATGATCAATTATATACATTGTATATATACAAGTTCGTTCCAAACAACAAGAATTATCGAATCATAATAGAGTGAGGGTGCAGGTCACATTTCTTCACATTTACATCCTTATGTTTAGGTTATTAGAATTAAAAAAAAACTCTGTACATCGCATAATGAAAATGACTCTACTTGATGAACAACTATTGAATGAAATATACGAGAGAAGAAAAAAGCACGAAAGTATTTGGGTTCATAGCGAAGTAGAGCATGCCGATCACAGCGAATGGTAGAATATTTTCTATATCATTCAAATGATTTCGACACCAACATCGTAGGCAACCGTATTGGTGCGAAGTAGTTAGCAACATTGTTTTTTTGACAAATTCTTAAATTGAATTAATAAATTTGATACACTCCTTATGCGTAATTTTGTTAGAGACAATAGATAAGTGGTCTTTCTTTGATTTGCGAGCAACCATGAGGAGAACAGTTCACATCTGAAAAAAGAGGAAACTGAAACATCAATTCAAGTAAGTGGCGCAAATTGTTACAGGAAGTCAACTGCTGGCCAGAGTACTAGAGCAATAATCAGATGTTCCAATGAAGTACTCGTCTCTGTACTCTTTAGTGCCATTGCTAGGTCGTTGATGTCAACATTTCATCACGAGTAGTTCTCTTGAATTTTGTCTCTTGTCGTAATAAATTATTTTACCCGTTTATCTATCGCTACAGCTCAGGCAGTTTTCCTTTGTTATTTTATATAAATCTCTGAAGGTGTGGGTGTAGATGTTCATGATATTGAAGGGCAGATATACCCAAAATCACACCCACACCCTAGTTTAGTGCAGTAGTAGGAAGGAGCTTTGAAAGGTTCTTGAAAACCATCACGGTCACGGCGGGGTAGCAGATTCGCAACCAAGATGGTCATTTCTGATAGATGATGTTTTATATTCAGTTGGAAGCAGTGTTCCCAATGGAAATATAAAGCAAAATGTGCTGTACATTCTGTATTATATGAGCAAAATGTGCGTGTACACTTCGTTTTCGTCGGCAAAATGTATTTAAGTATACGAAAACCTAACTTTCACAATCGAAAAACCTAAATAAATTGTTAGTCATTTTTCTCTATTCAGTCCATCATAGAATCGAACCAAGGAGATCGCACTTCACCATCATTTAAGCATCATACGTGATTTAATATTACGTGTAGCTTTTAAGGTTCAGGAATCAAAGTGTAAAATGTTTTAGCAAAGTGTACATCAAAAGTAGCAGATGTTCTGTACATTTTGCTTCTGCTGTGTACACTTGCTATTGGAAACACTGCAGGAAGAATTAAATCATTATATTTGATTCTTATACTTGCACATCTAGAAATATTGGTGAAATTTTAAAAGATTTTGTGTATGTGTTGATAGGGAGAAAACGGAACTCTGTATTTCTGAAATACCAAAGCACTAGGAAGTGTAGTTAGTTCATGAAAACTGATATTTCGATGCTCCTCCTTTCTCTGATTTTCTCCGTTTTGCTACTTTTTTTTGTTTCAAAACTAACCAGTTACAGCATCGAACTGAATTACATTTCATGAAGTGTCAGTGTGTCATACAGTTGCCTTTCTTCGTACTGCTCTTCTGTTTATGTTATATTCTACGCAATAAATGAAAAACACTTGACGTCTACATTGTAGACTCTACAATCGTAATTCAGATTAACTTTACTGCTTTGTGACAATCTTTTCATGTTATTTCAATGAATTCTAAAACAGGATACTTGTTGTGCATTCTAACGAACTTACTCTATTTTGTTACGACAAGACCAGCAGATTTATAGAATAAGACATTATTGTTGATATGACGAAATTGTAGCTTCTAAACAAATAATTAATATGGCATGAAACTGATGATACTCAAAAATAATGGATGCAAACAATAGATTGAATCTTGCTCATTACCTGCATTTTAGCTCTGTCAAGAGCTATTTACATATCTGTTTTGCAAAAAGAAAAACGCGTTTTCTATATATCTATATAGACCAAGGGTCAACATATTTTTGTTAATCGTTTAACTTAGGTGAGCTTGACAATTCAAAACTTCAGAATCAGCAAGAAAATGCGATTTTTGTTGATATAATAGAAACATAGTTGTACTGTTAAATCAATATTTTATTGATTTTTGAATAAAATTTTGTCCTCATCGGCACCTGGTTTCGTTATGCTCAAGCATGCTAATACATTCAGAATGTTAAAATCTCTGTTTTAGAACAAAAACAATGTTATTCTCCTAAAAGTTTTCTTGGCTCTCTGGTTCCTCAAATGGTCGACCACGTATCATTTCAGATGATCAACTAAATACAAAATAAGATTTTTTGTTATCAATGGAAATTTCTTTTATTTGCTATGGACCGATAAAAACATATACATAAATATTCAACTGAAATTTACATCTTGAGAGGTGTGAGTGTGAGCATCTAATAAGTAATACATTCACACCCTGTTTCAGTAAGCTAGTGTTCCTGAACCGTTCTAAACGCCTCTCAACCAGGAATAAACCTTCCTTCGACGGATTCGCATCTGTAGTTTATGACTTTACACTTTTATCCGTCCGAAATAGGTTACTTTCTCGGCGATTTTGTAACAAAAATAACGAACTAACATAAAAGGCAGAATGCTGGATGTCACTCAAGTTTTTTTTGGCGATTGTATGTTTTTGCTGGAGTAGAAGGAGGAAAAAGTGAACAGAAAAGAGAACATGCACAAAATAGATTGGTATCATCCACCTTGACAACGGTAAAAAGAAAGAAAAAAACGGTGAAAAATATTATTTTTGACGTATAGTGAAGTGATCTTAGATGAAGCAGAATAAAACAGACTTTTTTCGTGCTCTTGCGTTCATTTTCATTTTGAAACACTGATTTCGAAAAAAAAGGCATCTTACCATGGAACCTTTCGTATTGGTTAACAACTTTCTTAACCAAGTCTCCTCCAAATTGTCAGTCTCATCGCCAAACTAATAGATTTTAAATATTACATCCCCATTGCAAGCCTGGACTGCGATAATCGACTTTTAAGATATTCACAGTTTTAGTATGTGAACATAATATTATGGAAATTATTCACATAATCATCACATTTTTCAAGAAATACATTTTTTTGAATCATGTTGAATTTTATCGATCACATTATGATCACGCTAGATTTACCTTCTTCGGTGAATTTACTAGTGCCCACGTGAGAGAAAAGACCGCAATTCCTATCATATATCATAGGTTATCCGTGCTTTTGAGTTTATTTCATATATGAAAAGAATGGAATACTACAAATGAAGATGAATATCTTCAATTAAATGATAATAGCAAAAGTGTTTTTTTGCATCAGGCATATGTGAAGAGTGTTCGCTCTTCACAGTTAACAGTCGAACAATAAAGATCATAAAATTTAAAGCAAATATCGTTGGGTTTTTCAATTTTGCTAATTGTTTCGTTGATTATTTTAGCTTGTACAAATCCAGATTTAATAAGATTTTGAAATCGTGGAGCAGATAGTTGATTGTAAATAATTTCTATAATATTATGTTCACATACTAAAACTGTGAATATCTTAAAAATCGATTATCGCAGTCCAGGCTTGCTATGGGAGTGTAATATTTAAAATTTGTTAGTTTGGCGATGAGACTGACAATTTGGAGGAGACTTGGTTAAGAAAGTTGTTAACCAATTCAAAAGGTTTCATTGTTAGACAACATTGAAGTCTTCCTGGGTAGAATTATAGGAGCTGGTGGTTGACATAATGGAAGGGGATAGCGAGACTTTGGACTGCGTACTTCGTTCGTAATCCTTTTTGCACATCCTTCGTACTTCAAAAACTTTTAGAAGTAGATGAAGTTTCACTTTCTCACTCACGAAATAATCTGAACGGTGCTATTGTCAAAACGATATGAATAGATACTCTTACAATATCTATTGGCTATTTAGGTACGGAAACATGGGTGAGACATGCTCTAAACCCAAATCAACTACAGTAGTTGCTTCGCTTGTAGAAGCAGTCCCACAAGATAAAACACTAAATCCATCAGCCGTTACCAATGCTCCAGCGACTACAGCTGAGTCAATTTTTGAATCAGATGTAAATCTAGAAACATACATGCTGATTTGGTGTGATCATACCGCAGTTAACAACACAGTGCAGAGCACTGGTCTGCTCTCTAGTCTACGTTCTACAGTTAACTACGTAAAAACGTTTGATTATGCTGCTAGTTGTTAACAGTATGTTCGGAAAGTTGAATCTACGAAAAGAATCATTTTAATCTCTTCCGCAACTATGGCTGCATCTCTATTGCCACATATTCATGCCCTACCACAGATGTATGCCGTCTACGTTTATGGCTTGGAAGAAAGAAGTAAAAACGACCAGACGTTTGCTAATTATTCGAAGGTGACTAAAAATTGAACTGATTCTTGCTGTTATAATCGCAACTAGTGGTCGACTTTGTGTTTCAGATTCGAGCTATTCTGTCTACAATCAACGAAGCCATATCACGTGTGTCGGCTGATAGAATAGTCCGTCGTCAACAGTTTGATGATACTACTACGTTTCAAGTTTCTAATGATAGCGACAATAGCAGTGACGTTAAACCCGCTCAGAGTGCCACAATTCTATGGTTTCAGTTACTGATTGATTACATCATTAGACTTTCAGAAGGACCATCTCTTCCTGAGTTAATTGATCTTTGTCGTCAACAGTACGCTGGTAATGTATTTGACATGGCACTCATCGAAGAATTTGAGGATCAATACCGGTCGGATAAAGCAATTTGGTGGTACACGAAAGACTCGTTCGTTTATCGTTTACTAAACCAAGCGCTAAGGGAGCGCAACCTTAGAATGATCATTTTATTTCGAGAGTACATTCGTGATCTAATCGAACAGTTAGTTGAAAATCAATATTCTGGTGCAAGCACAATTACAGTCTATCGCGGGCAAGCTCTATTAGTTTCAGAAATAAATCGAGTTCGAGATCAGACTTCTCCGTTAATAGTAATGCAGTCATTTCTGTCGACCTCAAAGAATCGTGAAGTAGCCTTAAGTTTTGCAAAACAGATGGTTCTTCCCGCGACGTTAAATCCTGTTCTCTTTGAAATCACGGCAGACACTCAACTAAAAGAACGACCGTTTGCTGATATAGCACGTCACAGTGAATTCGAAAACGAGGAAGAAATTTTGTCTAGCGTAGGCTGTGTATTTAAAGCAACATCACTAGCCTACTCCGATAATGTGTGGTTAATCAAGTTAACTCTTTGCAAGACTGACGAGTACGAGCCCAATAATATTTATTCGACAATGAACGCTGCTTTGGATTCGAGTATTGATCTGGACACGTTCGATAGGTTTTTGTACGACATAGGTATACCGAGCTGGAGCGACATACAATGTGTACTTCCGCCCAAACAGCAGCAATTAGATTTGAATAATGCAAAATCTGTCTGCGCATATGCTGATAAATTATTTCGTCACCACGACGATTCTGTGGCAGGGTAAGTGCAGTTTAATGATGCTCACGAAGCGATTTTCTTTGAAAATCTTTTTGTGACATCTCTTTAAAATACATCCGACAAAAAGGGATAGAAAAATGGAATGAAAAGGCATATTTTCCTAAAGGATATATTTTATAGATAGACCGCATTAAAGTCTTTTTGCCATAAAAGTTCCTTTCGAGACAAATAAAAAATGACTTTTATAAGAAGATGTTTAATGCATGTCGTTTGATGGGCGTTGCTAAAATCTAACTTGTTCTATTTACAGAATGGAAGTGGCCACGTGGTATCTTAAAGCAATTGATCTTGAAGGCAAGTTACAACCTGTGAACTATCTGAATCTTTTCAAGATGTATCTGAAAGTCGCAGAATGTTTGGAAAATGACAAAATTTACTATGAAAAAGCTAAAAATATTGTAACAAATTTAACTGAAGAGAACGGTCCTCTGCAAACAGCTAGATTATATTTTAAATTAGCGCATCACTGTAGTCTATATAGTGATAGGGACCATGACGAAGCCTTGGACTGCTACCTGGCGTGCTTGCACATTCAGCAAGAGGCGTTACCTGAAAATGACTTAAACATCGCTTTAACTTATAAACAAATCGCAACACTACATAATGATCATCTGAGCAGTCATGAAATTAGTGAACCATCTTTCTCTGAGTATCTCGTGTATACTTCAATCGCAGAATTTTTCATGGGAAAATGTTTGTCTATACAACTGAAAACGTTGCCAGCTACACATCCTGAATTAGCAAAGACATATTTTTGATTTGGCTCCTTCTACCTTTCCGCTTTCCAGAGAAACATCGTTTTGGCACTGGAATATTTTGAAAAGGCTATAAATATTTTTCAGACGATCACACTTGGGAGCCGCTGGCATAGCAGGGCAATACGACATGTCCACGATACTAAATCAGGTTTCTGCATGGCGTCCCAAAATTATAGGACACCATATGAAAACAACAAAACTTTCTACACTTAAAACAGGCTTCATTCTTAACGTAATGTCATATCCATGGACACATAGTAACAGCCCATCATCAGTGCTATTGACTTAAGTCTGATGAATTAGCGTTGAAAGAGTATACTCAAAATTTTCGAATTCCGCCTGTCCCATAATTATTGGATATGCCACACCGTGAGTGTTGATATATACTGTGAAAAGACTCACGGCTATCAAACACATGCACTCAGACCCACGCCGGACTTTTTGTCATCTTACGAAGTCGGGTGTGATTATGTAACACAAAATCTTAGAAAAAATAATTTTAACTATTAATAATTTATATTTGACTTTCTTCCATAATTAGAAAACATAGATACACTTGTATTGAAATTTTGAGAGTAATATAATGATCATTTTTGATTTTTATGGACATTGTTCTAAAATAGAAAGTGCTATAACCTCTTTCAAATACAACGTTCTCTGATTGTATGTTATGATGTCATTTTGGTATTCATAATGTGGCATAGGACATATGTGACGTCTTGTAAGACTTTTGAAAACATGAACTATCTTGAGAATGTGGGTATGGGTGAATATGTTTCATGTCCTTAATGAAAAATCAGTACTTCCAACAGTTGAAAGTAGTCTCGAAAAGTATTGCAGCTTATCTATTGTCAAGCAACACCCTCGCCGACACTCAGATATACACCTAACGCGTATTATTTTTGGTATGGCTCCCATCGAAATTATATCCTTCGATAGAGAACTAAATTCTGCATATAATACAATCATTTTCAGACCAATCACCGGTCAAAGAGAGAATCGAGATTGGAAATAATCGAATATCGTGTTAAATTTACTTACCGGAAATTATTTTATTGTTTTAGTATCGCTTCTATTCCACTAGGCTCAATCTTTCTTTCAATCGAAGTAGAAAAATGTTTCAATCTAATGCTAAATACTTGTCAGTATGTACGACGCATGTTTGTAATAAACAGATGGATTCATCAGATAACCAACGACCGTATACGGTTATATGTGATGGAGAAAGCTCTATTTTATCATATCAAATTTATATTAAATTTGTTTTCTTCTACAATCAAAAAGGTTTTTCAAAATTTTAGATATCCTGTATCTGATCTTAGTTGAACAATTTTTTTCTACGAAAAAAAATAAGAAAAATAGTTCTCCAAT